AAATGGGGACACAGACACTGGGAGACTAGGGGACTGGGCAACATGGGGACACTGACACTGTGATACATAGGGACACTGAGACACTGGGTGACTTGCGAGACTGAGACACTGGGAGACAGGGAGACACTGGGAGCAATCCATCTATACAGCAGAATCAAACTGTGAGTAGTTTGTTGGTGATTTTACAGAATTTTCTCTGATGTCACTCCTTGTGATTTACATCATGTGATGTCACGCATAACTAATTAATTATACAAATGATTAAGGCTGGTATTTTTTTCCAAGGAAGGTGGCAACCTTAACTACTCTTCACATACTCTTGCTTAAAGGAGCACTGTAGGGTCAGGAACACAATCATGTATTTCTGACCCTATTATGTTAAAGCCACCACCCTGGCCCCTTCTTGCCTCCCTGAATATAGTAAAATATTACTTGTATTCAATTCTGCAGCTGCTGGCTCAGAAATGGTGGTCTGAGCAAATTACAATACTTCCCCATAGGACTGGCTGAGACTGTCAACTAGGCAGATCAGGGGCAGAGCCCCAACATAGCCCTGGCCAATCAGCATCTCCTCATAAAGATAAATTGAATCATTGCACCTCTATGAGGAAAGTTCAGTGTCTGCATGCAGCGGGTGGAGACACTGAATGGCAGTGCTGCACACTAGGCAGTACTGCCTTAGGAAGCACCTCTAGCAGCCATCTAAGGAGCGGCCAGTGGAGTTATTTTCTCTGAAAAGACAGTGTTTACTGCAAAAAGCCTGAATGGAATGATTCCACTTACCAGAACAAATACAACAAGCTGTAGTTGTTCTGGTGACTATAGTGTCCCTTTAAGTTTGGAAGCTTAAGAGGGATGTATGAGAACAAAACTTGTGTGCAGTGGCTGACATTAAAGTTAGTTTAGGTAATGCAGACGTTGGTCTCTCTAACACTGTGACATGTCCCCTTTCTTCTACACTCACTACAGACACCTTTTCTCTGTCTCAGACTATATACCAGGAACTTCTGCCTGCTAGTAAGAAGGTAAGGAGACAAGTGGACAGTCCTTAGAAAGAATGGAGTGAGCGCATTATTAGACGCATTTATGTCAAGCTCAAGGTGCTGCCTGCATAGTATGCCCTTAGTGGACAGCCTGCAGGATTGGCAGGCAGCCTGACATGCATTCATGCCAGGCTGATCTTCCAATTCTTTGGACAAACATTCCCCCCATTTTGGGCATGTTCACGTGATTCGTGCCAGTGGCACACCCTTTTACCCCGCCCATTGACTTCCTGCTTCACTGGACACTGCTGTTAGGGGTTATGGATTTACTTGAAAGATGAAAGTATAAATTAGAGAGAAATTAGCATAGAGTATGTGTTTTCTTATAGCTGCATCCTATGAGTATCCTTCCAGCACCATCTCCATCAGATACATGACGCTTGGGAGGTATGATTGTTTTAGTGTTTTTGGTCTATAAGATTCCGTAATTAGGCCCATCATAATTGTCAGCACCAGGCCCACTGTGCTCTTAATCCGGCCCTGGGGTTATGGTGAAAAGTAGGTTGTCGGCGAAAGCCGCAACCTTAAATTACTGAGCATTTTATTTTATTCTGTGTACAAGTATGAAGAGTAGATGTGACAGAGGGCACCCCTGTCTCGTTCTGTTGCTGATGGGTACTCTGTCGGATATTTGGCCATTGACCCGCACCCTGGCTGTTGGGTTGGAGTAAAGTGCTGACATACAGTGCAGCCAGTTAGAGCCAAAACCAAGAGCCTTTAGGGTGTGGAAAAGCAGGGTCCAGTCCATCCTGTCAAAAGTCTTTTCGGCGTCAATGGAGAGTAGGAGGCATGGCATCGAGACAGTTTGGATAGATGGATGAAATTTATCATTTTCACAATGTTGTTTTTTGCCTTGGGGCCATGCACAAACCCACCTGATCAGGGTGGATTAGTCCCTGTAAGAGAGGGCGGTCTTGTGGCCAGGATCTTAGTGAAAATTTTTAGACCTTCGTTGATCAACAATATAGGGTGGTAGCTTCTGTAGTGAATGGGGTCTTTCCAGGTTTAGGGATCAGGGTAATGTGAGCTTCTAGTGCGGTCGTAAGAGGCGCATGGGGTCCTAGAAGAGAGTTGAACGTATTGGTGAAAGGCTGGTATAATGTATATACATATGTCTTATAATATTTGGTCGTGAACCCATCAGGTCCCGGGCTTTTACCCAACGGTAGCTGTTTGACCACAGTGACAAATTCCTTGGGGGAAATGGGTTGAGGGAGGTAGTTCACGATTGGTGAGTACATTTTAAGATTTATTATTTGTCTGTATGTATCTTGGTACATTGATCTTGAGGAAGACCCTGTAGGGTCGAAACGTCGATTGGATGATGTAACTTTTGTTTTAATAAATACCTAAGGAGTTATTGTAAAGTCCTGCGAGTGCATCTCTTATTCCTTTTCTATATATATATATATATATATATATATATATATATATATATATATATATATTTTTTTTTTATATATTTAAATATTTGTATGTTGCTTCAAGTAGGGTCACCCGCATCTCTCCCCACCACCCACCGCAAGTACCCCTACCAGTCATTACCCTGTTGTGCCTAAAGTGTTTTTTTTGTTTGTTTGTTTTTTTGTAATTCTTTTCTAAAAATTTCTTCGACACAATTGGGTAATCCCTAAATCCTGGACTGGTAGGAGGTATTTGAGGACTGGATTGGGAACCACTGGTATAAAGCATTACAACAATCATGAGAGGGGGAAAAAAAAAAAGATTTTTTTTTTAAAGGTTCCTCGCTGTGCTGCTTTATAGCCCTGCCACACCAGGATAAGATATCCAGGAACATCTCATCCTGGTCTCTGATCATATCCCAAAAGTCTCTGTCTGTCAAGAGTTTATGGGATAAGAAGTTTATCCCTAAAGAGCCAGTCAGTTATCACAAAGTATGATTGGAACTGATTTATAGATCTACAGCCATACCATCACGATCAGTCTATACATGCCCAGTTCACGGTTTTGTGAACCAGACAATGTTGTAATATCTGGGGAGGAGAGTGTGCCTTCTGTTTTTCACCTGTAACTTGTGCACACTGCACAAAAGGTGACACAGACACAGGGGACAGGACACTACTTTTCTTTCTCCACCTCTACTTACTAGATTTAATGAAAGAAGATGGTAGAGCTTAGAATAATGAAGACAGGGAACCAAGAAGTAGGTGCTCAGTTTCAGGATAGAGTTTAATACTGCGGTGTAGATTACTACATCTAACTTTCTCAGATTTCAGTCACAGATTAGTAAATAAAGGGGATACCTAGAAATAAAACTGAGAATGATAGTTTCATTAATTCTTGATAAGGCACACCTGGCAAACAAAACCATTTGGCCATGCCAACACCTGCACAACTCTCAGTGGCAGACTGACCATTTGGGGACTTTGGTAATGCCCCAGAACCGAAATAGTCAGGAAGGTAACCTGCAAGGTTTCATGGAGTGTCGCTGGGTTTGGGGATCCTTGACCATCTAATGATGCTAATTTTATTTTTATTTTTTTAACTATGGACATGGCTATATTTTAAATTTGGAAAGTGCCGGTCGGCTTCCAAAGTGTGCCACCAGGACTTTCCATACAGTAGCAGTCTGTGCGAACCATGTGCTGAGAGGAAGGGATTACACTTCATTTCCTCCCAGCGCATTGTTAGAGAGCCGCACAAGGCATTGAGAAAGTAGGCAGGGTGAGAAAAGTGAGGGCAACCAGAATCTGTGTTTCAGGCTCTACTGGGCAACCAGGAAATAGGAAAATGTGTTTTCTACTTATATTAAGATACGAGGACGGGGACAGAAATTTAAACTTTCTTTTTCATTTATTTAAAATTGTGGAACAGATAACACACATCACTCATAGTTAGTTGTACACATCATTTATAGCTAAAGCACTTACAGCTATCCAAAACCAAAACACAGTCACCACCATAGGCGTGCGCACGGGGTGTGCCTGGGCACACCCTAATCCCCGTGGCACGCGCTGCCTCACTCCGTGGGCCGGTGAGGGAGATCAAAAGATCTCCCTTACAGACCCACAGAAGCATGGAGGGAGGCAGGAGAGGACCCGGGGAGCTCTTGCCAGCAGCTTCGCCAGGTTCCTCTCGAGAGGTTGGAGCTTTGCCGCGGTTACCGTGGTAACGCTTAGATCTCGCTAGAGTTCACTCACCACTGGACCACCAGGGATGGCAGCAGCACAGTCCCCCCTCCCTACATAAGGTAAGAAGGATATTAACTAAACAGCCCCCCCACATTACACACAAACACATACATCACCCTTACACACACTAACAGCACCCTCACACAAACAGCGCACACACACAGCAGTATGTGTGTGTGTGTATAATTTTATTTTTATCATTTATATAGCGCCAGACTCTGTAGTGCTGTACAATGAATATATATATATATATATATATATATATTATATATACACATACACACACATGGCGTGTGTGTTTGTGTTTAGGGTGCACACCCTTATACAATAGGCTGCGCACGCCTATGGTCACCACACAGACAACATACATTCAGCAAAACAATGCTCATGGTGTCACCCTCAAATGCAGTTCAAGTCATTCAATTTGCTTGATTTCTTTCTTTTAAAAGAAAGCAGGAGTGAAGCCAGCAAGGGTTTGTCCATCCAATTTTTTTTGGGGTGGCCCAACCCCTTAAAGTAAACCCTTAATGGGGGGTTCCTATGTGTGTGGGAATCATGCGTTTTCGCAGCGCCTGTCTTGGTGCTGGACAGGATCTGTGTGAACCTGCACAATCATGGTCGAGGGGAGGGGGCTTTGGGAGGTTGTCCCTCTAACTTGTAAGTCAACCCCTGAGCTGTCCAAGATTAGCCTTTTACAGTAATTTATTGACCTTTAACATTTATTTTATGATTTCATAGTTTTCTAACAAAACATTGCTAATATGGTTTATTATCCTCTATACTTGTGTGTTTTTATTTTACATGACCTTGCTATAATTTGTTCTCTTCTCTGACACTAATTCCTTTCATATGTATTTATGGGTAAAACAAACCACACAACCGCATAAAGGGTCACTATACATTAGAATATTTAATTCAACATTTTGATATACAGCATTTAAAATGTATGTAAATCACAGCCAGGACCTTGGTATTCATTGTAGCACCTATTTTATGGGCAGAAAGTGAGAGTGACTACTTAAAAAGACATCAGTGGTCACATCAAAAGCAATCACTGAATATCTGTATGAACATTTCGTAGTGATTTTCAGATTTGTACAGGTAACAATGTGAATACCTAAAGTTGTATGTAATTAATTTGTGATCTCTTCAAACCTGCTAAAATAATCCTGTGTGTTTTACTTAAAATAGCATTGCTAGCTCAAGAATTATAGTGTTCATCTTTTTCTCACACACATTTTACTTCTGCAAAACATTGGAATATATGGTGCATCATTCATCAAATGTGGGTCAAACATGAAAATGTATTTCTAGTTACCAAACATGAGGGGATGTTCGTAAGATAAAAGGCATACAACTGTGTATTTTGCATCATTGTTCCGAATCATTTGATCAATCTTATTCCCACCACAAAATGAACGCAGTTCCCCAAATGAGTCTAGAATACATCCAGATATTGCCTAATAGGTTAATTAAACCATGAACTGTATTCAGTTTACAATAGAATTACAATATACAATCCAAAATAGTTGAACATTTTTAATCAGAAATTCAAACATTTTTCACAATTTAAAGCTAATTTTTCAGTTTAGTTGTCAGCTCAACTCATCTTAATGCATGTAAATGAACCAGTCAAGAGTTAAAGAGGTACTACGGACTTCAGTGTTTTGAAGTGATCACGGTGCAAAGACCCTGTATGTACTGTATTTTGGTATATAACACCAAATCTGGCAGCATCATTAGCCAGTGCAATGGCAATTTTGTGCATATTCCTTGAACAGACACTCATTCGTTGGCTGAGAGTGCTCAGGTGACAGTCCGGTAATGAATGACTGGCAGGATCAGCATCCCGGCTTCTAAGCTCTGCAGAAGCGGATGTACCCATGTCACAATTAAAGGAGGCTCAGCATCCATTACAGAATGTTTTGCCCCATTACTTGGGAGTAACACCAGGGTACTCCAACCATTATAACCACTACAGTTGGCTATAGTGCTTATGAAACTCTGCGTAACACTTTAAAGATAGCTACGAACATCAGGTATATCCATTAGAAACTCCAGTCAGTAACAATATATATATATATATATATATATATATATACACACACAGTAGCAAAGGTAGTAGGGAGAGAGCTGCGAGTAGACCCTCAAAACCAGAGACCTCACATTGGATATTTTAACCACAGTTTGCGGAAAGGGAGGAAAAAAAAAAAATAAAACCAACAAAGCACTTACTTATTTCATGTAACTAAAGGTCAGATTTTCGTAATTTAAAAAAAAAAATTTTTTATTAAAAATATTTCTTCCTCCCTCTTAACTGTAAGAGGAACAATTCTACAATCTCCTAAATGTTCAAACCAGTGGTGCTCTACAAAAATGTTAACAATTGTCTTCTCAAGCTTAGTCAAATATATTGGCAGTCATTAAAGCACTTTTCTGCCCGCAAAAGAGATGGGCAAATTAATATACTTCTACGGATATAATGGTGGATTTTCCTTTATTATATGTTAAAAAAGCGCTTTTAAAATAAAAAAAATTTGTAAATCATCTGTCTCTTTCCCCCCGCCCGAAACACCATGACAAAACTGAATTATCCATTTTTAGACAAAAAGTAAATAAATGAATATCACATTATGTGCTAACCTAAACCATTTTATCAGTAGAAGTGATTATTGGATAAAAATTGTGATGTTAAGGTGATGAGTGTATGAAACCGCTTTGGGAGAGAAGTAGAGCACACTGCTTTACGGAGTTTACCAGCCTTTGCTCTTTTACAACCATTACAACTGATTATATTTTACGCAAGGTATTTTATGGTGTTAAGCATTAGAATAGTCACGGAGTCATTCTGTTTTCTTAATAAAAAAGTTAAATCATGCTGCTGAAATTGCTTGTAGCTAGTTGCAAATCGCAGTCATTGTTAATAAAAAAACATTAAGGGTAGGAGGATCCACATTGCAGAAATCCATGGGATCTAAACAGATTTAGATCCTGTTCAGCACATATTACAATATAACTGAATAACATCAAATCAGATCTATTCAAGCTACAACAGCCCATACAGCACTGACAAGAAAGCATGCAAGGTCGTAGAACGTTGATCTGATCCTTTGAGGAACAGCAATCTTATCTGGTCAGTGTGTCAGTGGTCAGTCTATATAAGGATTTCCTTCTAATTTTTTTTTTTTTTTAAAAACACTTGCAAGTAAAATCCTAGCTTAGTTCTCACAACCACAGTAGCATTGTATTCAAATACTGCCTGTGTTCTTGCTCCAAAACAAAAAGTGCTTTAAGGACAGGGCACAAAAAACATTCAATTCCACTAGGTGTCCTTGGATCTGTCAATCATTTGTTACAAATTCTTAAAATAATTTTTCCCAAGCATCTTCACAAAAGGAAAGTAGTTATTCCTTGTGTTCATTCCTTGGATAACACCAAAACCCTTAGATTCTCAACCAGTAGTGTTACAATATTATAATCCACCATATGTTACAAAAGATTTATCAGAAAGCTCTCAAACTTTAGTAATTTCTAAATGCTGCTTATTTACATACTACATAATTCAATGGTTAGTTGGCAATTTAGAGCTGTAATCTCTATTCCAGACATTTGTATGAAGGTGCAGTAACCTTTTAAGTGCATTTATCATGTATAAGTAAGAAAAAAAAGCCACAAAAAACAACCAACCACAAAACAAAGAAAATGAAAACAGTTAATTAGGTTTTCTTTCTCTGGATCAAACGCTTTGATTCCAGTACTTTCTTGCAATAATAAAGTGAGTTCTAACGTAAACAACCTTTGATTGTCTAATTATCCTCTGTTTTAATTGTTTGAAAATAAAAACAGAAAATGCATAGACAAAATTAAAACAAAAATGGAAGGAAAATTTTAACATTTCAAATCTATAATAAAAATAATAGTTCACATACAGAAAAACATGAGGGAGCGATAAAATTTGAGTTTGATTAATACCATAATACTTCCTATAGATGGTCTTAAGTAGATTACTTTCATTAGATCCTACATGGAGTCTAAACCAATTTTAAAGTCATCACACGTAGAGTGATAACACAACTCACCATATCAAGACTTTTAGAGAGTAAACTTCAGAGGGCCACAGATATAAGATTGGTGTGGTGGTAATGATCTATTCCTGAGTGCATTACTAACGGCGTACAAGAACATTTATATGTTCAGAAAAATAAGGTGGAGCCCCCAGGGCAGAGACAGGCAAAATCTGCATTGCATTTGCCAATAGGATGGCTGATCAATTAGAACTGTAGTCATCAGCTGCTTGACCGCAGAAGGTGATTTGTCCCTAACTAGAAAAATTGAAGGAAGACAAACAAGGGGAAAATATTTCCAAAGATAAAATAAGGACAGAAAATTTGCTTATGTACAATTATTAGCATTCAAAAGATAATAACTGGATTGTTGCATCTACTAATGAAGGCTGGAGGGTAAAACTCAACCAACTTCTCCAGTATACACAGTCTGACTCATGCTAATAAATAGTTTTACCAAGCATCCCACATAGGGTGAAGGCAATCTGTACCATAAAAATTGCATTTAAATATATATCTTCAGGGTTTTCAGTAATTTACTTATTATTGCCCCAAGAGGTGTGACCTTCATATACACAGTCAATGAGGAGTGTTTGGGTGTGCTCCTCTTATGGGTAAAGTATGTTATCCTGCATAGACTTGTGGCTGTAGAGGAGGAGGCAGCCTATCATCCTCTACGTTCTCTGAATCTATGGATGCCAGTGCCTGGTTAGAGCTTTTTATGTGCAATGGGTACTTTTCCACAATGTCCTGGACTCCTCGAGTCACTTCATCTGTCCAGTCAATGAGGTCCTTCTCAAGCTGCCTGGCACCATTCGCAATGCGTTCTTGCCTTTCGGAGAGCTGGGAAAGCAGGTCCAAGTTTTTATGCATCTGTTTCACCCCAGAACATGTGTCCTCAGGCCAACTCTCAGAGTCTTGTTTTTTTGGTGAAGCTTGACCAGACATGTACCTGTTGAACTCCTCCTCACTTAGATTCAGAGACTGGGCATCCAACTTCTCAATGAATGCTATTGTGCAGCACTATTTAAAGGGAGAGAGATTCAGAGTTTGATACTTTGTCACTACATTAGGCTAAAACAAAGCATGTTGAACACTAAAATTTGTTGCATATTGGTCAGATAATTTAAATCTAACGTAACTTACTTTTTAGTGAAATAAACCATATACTGCTTTGCATAACTTTTTGATACATTCAAACATTTCTATCATATACTGCCGATTCCTCTGCCACTAAACAGTTCACTGAATGGGTTAAAGTAAGTATTGACGAGTACAGTGTTGTTACGCTGTGCATTATGACAAAGATTGTGAAAACCTTTGAAAAGCAAAGGTCTTCAGTGAGGAAGCCCCTCTAGCGTGGTCTTAAAGACACTAGAAGCATGGTGCAGCCAAAATTTATACAATGAAGTTTCTCAGAAATGTCAGACAAAAAAAAAAAATGGCTTCATCTATGCATGAAAACAACTTCGTAAAATAGTTGATTTTCAATGTCAGCAGTAGGAATCTCCTTACCAGGTTTGTGAAATAGTAACCATCCTCCCCAGTCATCAATCTGCTCGGGTTACAAAATCTAGTGATGTACTGAATGTTTGACTGCAGGCGTGGTGGATTAGCCTTCAGGACAATATAGATAAGAGTGGGTAGGAAGTCATCAGCAGAGGCTGGTTCATTCTTCGTGATCTTGATAGCATTGAAGATGTGTTTGCTGCACTGTGTGATGCAGGTGAGCTTGTCCCGTGGAATCCGCTTTGAGTCCATCTCAATAATATCTGGTTTTAGTTCATTAAAAAGAAAAAAATATATATAATACTTTAACTTACTGCAGCATAAAGATTACTACTTGTGGAAAGGGCCAAAGATTTAGCAAGCCCACACTAATCAATTAACTGTGCACATAGACCTTTAAAGGACCACTATAGTGCCAGGAAAACACTCGTTTTCCTGGCACTATAGTGTCCTGAGGGTGCCCCCACCCTCAAGGTCCCCCTCCCGCCCGGCTCTGGAAGGAGGAAAGGGGTTAAAACATACCTTTTTCCAGCGCTGGGCGGAGAGCTCTCCTTCTCTCCTCCTCCGTTCCGCCCCGTCGGCTGAATGTGCACGCGCGGCAAGAGCTGCGCGCGCATTCAGCCGGTCACATAGGAAAGCATTCATAATGCTTTCCTATGGACGCTGGCATGCTCTCACTGTGATTTTGCACGCAAGCGCCTCTAGTGGCTGTCAATGAGACAGCCACTAGAGGAAATAGGGGAAGGCTTAACCCATTCATAAACATAGCAGTTTCTCTGAAACTGCTATGTTTATGAAAAAATGGGTTAACCCTAGCTGGACCTGGCACCCAGACCACTTCATTAAGCTGAAGTGGTCTGTTTGCCTAGAGTGGTCCTTTAAGCAGAGGCTAAGATATTGTCATATATATGTATGATATTGAAGTACTAAAAGATTGTATATGTGTGTAAGAAAAATGTAAGGCAATTTGATTAGATTTAATATTTTTAAGCAACCATTCAAATGCCACAAGGAGTCTACTTTTCCAAAGAACATTATTTCTATGGCATTTCTGATTTTGGAAACAGTCTCTGCATATAATGTTTTTAAAAGAATTCTGGAAAGGAAACATTGTGTGTCTTGTAATATGTGATCTGTAAATGTCAAAAATAGATGAATTTTCCAGATATACAATATATTTCCAAAATTAGGACAAATAAATGAAATTATTTTCTGGTATTGTTCTGTACTAATTACAATACGTAAAACTTTGACAAATATTGTCACAAAATCCCACCCCCACCATTTTGCTTATATCTTATTAATTCTAAACAAAACATACAAAATTGCTTGTGTCTTTTGCCTCTCACAAAAAACAAACACTCTCTTTCAGGAGGTAAAGATTTTAAATCATAAAAAATATGATATAATAATACAATATCTCACAATAGAGACAGCTTAAGCAAAGTTAACACTTTAAAATTTAAAACAATTGTGAGCTAGACAAGATAAGAACATGTTTCATGGTAGTGTCTCACAGATTCTGCTCAATACACATTTGGATTGAGTGCCATGCTCACCTGTTATTGCCTTTACCACCATGTCAGACACTTCTGGAATAGCTTCATTTACAGGGACACAGAGCATCTGGGGTGTCACCCAATGTAAGGCCCTGAGAATAAAACATGGATTATAATGAATGGAGAGAATAGAAGTCCATTGGGGGTTATTTCTTTAACTGCATAGAGGTTGTCTGCACTTCCATAGATCAGCTAGTTATATACTGCAGTTTGTCACAGTTCACTGTGAGTGATTTCATGAATAAAATAGATGGAATAGCTGGACTTGGCTATTTGGAGCATGCACAGTACAACAGACTGAAAATACTTGCACACTAGTTCCACAAATGTAATCAGTCAATGTGTTGCTACAAGAAACCATCCCTCTTGGATTTACACATTGGCTAAACTGAATGCTGGTTTGAGATTCTAATAGAAGGGTCAATAAATAACTTTCTTTTTGAGAGTCACTGTACCCATCTGATGTCCCAACACACTCACCTGATTCTCTTTTGTATTGTGAGGTCTTTCTTTTCATCATCAGTGGTTTCTGGGCAAAACACATGCTTATACAGGCGTGTCATAAGAAACTTTTCAATCTGGTCCATCACCTTCTCAACCTTATCAGGCGATACTAAAAGTTTCAGAAAAAAAACCCAAACTCAATTATATGGTATTACTGGGCACACTGAGCACAAGGCAAGGTCGGAGGAGGAACAATGTGAACAAGATTCTTAGCATCATGAATGTGAGGCTACACCTAATGCAATAGATTTGGAAATTGCAGTTTTATTAAATTATAGTAAAAAGCATTTGTAATTGTGGCATTATGTGCCACTATGATTTTGGCCCTGGAAATTATAATTCAACCATTTACCACTCCTTTCCCATTTCTTCCTCTGTCACTTTACACCAAATGAAGCATGATGTGAAAATTTAAAGTGACAGGTACTTATTTATCTTTTAACACAAATCTTTCTTGAGCCAGTATTTTACTATCTCCTTTCTTTCCCTGAAGCTTTGCTTTCACTAAAATGTATATCGTTTCTTGCTGCAATAAGCATCCCAACAGTTTACATACAAACAAGAGTTGCTCAAGGATTGAATTTGTATTTTATTTTGAAAATATACGAGGAATGAAATGATGCAGCAGACCGCAGAAAACCCCCCCATACCTGGACTCATTTAAAATGGAATGCCACTACCCAACATCCCAAAAAAGGTAGAACAGTCAGAATGTGTTTCCAGTGAACAAAAATGCTAAACTTAAAATCTGTCACTACAAAGGACACATATGTTAAAGCTATGGCAGCCTCTTGTCTGCATTTCAAAAATACTTGTTATTAATTAGAAGTAAAACTAGGCATGTTCTGTAACTTTTACACTTTAACATCTTGATTTGTGTACTTTACTATAAACTATACCCATGATGAAGCATTGTAATCTCTTTTAATCTTTTTTTTACACAAAGAAAGGTAATTGTGTTATTGTCCTTTCCAATGAATGGTACATCTGAATCTATTTGATACTTCATTTTTAACTACCCACAAAACTACCACTGCATAGTAAGTAAAGGATTACCTTTCCAATACATTTGCAACTTGTCAGCAGTGTTTTGATAAAAGTCCTGGGTGAATTCTGATTGCTCTTCAATGTTTGATTCCTACATAAATAAAGAGAGGAAAAAATAAATAAATTTATCTCATTGGTTTAGTTTTGAAGGTCATGATGAAGTTAGAGATTAAGGTGATGACATTTTAAAAGCAATGCTTCCATGCTGGAGAGAATGGAAAGGCTGTTGCCTATATTTACTAAAAAGACACTTTCCCTGTTAATCAGTTATGTTCTGCAGATACGATTTGCTGGAAATATCTATATATTTACAGATATACACACAAATAGGAAGTATATATTTTAAATATAGTGTGAACTTAAAGACCGTTCTAAAATTGCAAACATGCCTCAAAATGAGCCTCATATAAAAAATAGAATGCCAATTCATTTTTCTATCATGCAATATTTTTTTGGCTCCATCCTTTGTCTTTGATTAACACTTTTTTTTTCCAAGTGAGCAAGAAACTTTAAGCAGCTAAATTGTACAAGCATGAAATAAAGCAAAACAAAACAAAGGGTTAACCATTGAGTGTTCTCATGTGATAAGGGGAAAAAAAGCCTCCCAGAGTGATTCATTTGAAGAATTTGGTCATTTTTTTTCTGATACTGCAGTGCCACTGGAGGCTTTTAATACAGCAGACTGATCTCAAGCTTTTTATACCTTATGTTTTAATGCTATGCCATACAGAATATGACAGGGAATTTCTATGTCAAAACCAATTAACAGCAAGTCTATAATTTACAGATATATATCACAGTGATAGGGAAATTCTGACATACTTGTGAAGATAAAAAAAGAAAAAAAAGAAAATTTTATAATTGGTTATCGTCCATTTCCAATAATATTTGGGGGTATGGATTTTATAATTTTCTAACTTAGATGTAAGAGTTTTATAGTTTTTGGAAGGAGCAAAAGCGGAGTTGATCTCAATAGAAATCTAACTTGATGTTTAAACAGGTATCAGTGATAAAGGGAACACCTATGGCAAATTACCAGCACTTTTGTCTACATTCTAAAACAAAATGCAACATTAAAAAACTAACATTTTTACTAAAGAAGCAGAGTTTTTTTTTTTTTACCTTTTTTATATGCATGGCCTCCAAAAAGATTTTGCATTGCTTGAAAACGTCATGTCCTGCTTTCTGCAAGGGTTTGAGAAACTCTATAAATTCTTTGGAAGCGCGATCCGTCTCAACGCTTATCTGACGGTTAAGAGAGGGACTGGGAGTTTTCGCTTCCTTTATATCTGTTGTAATCACAGAAGTGAAGAAAACATTTTAGCGATGAATACAAATTGCTTATATATTCTTCATATGTGTAAACAAGTACTTAACGCTTTTCTTTTTTAAAACAAACATTTTATTACTTTAAATGAATATAGTAGAGTATGGTGGGTGTTGGAGTTACACTGGCAAGCACTCTTACAAATTATTTAGGCAGTGACAGTTAGGAAAAGAGAATTAACACATGAACAATATTCACACTAGAACAATCATGGTCGGCTTCAAACACAGTTCATGATGAAAAATGTAACAGTTCAAATAGAGTTAAAGTGGAGGCCTCCCAAGAAGTTTTCAAAAAGAATAACGGAAAGTGGACAAAAGTTTTATGAATAAGATCTTTCTGGTGTAAATCTAGGGATTGTACATCAGGTTGCCAAAAGTTAAAGAATTGTGAAACCTTCGATTCTTTACATTGGGAGGCTTCAACCCAGTCTAATTTAAATACATGAGCTAATTTAGTTTGGAATATCTTCTTGGCAGGTGCCAAGGACCATTAGAATAAATCTAGGATATCTTGTGGTAGTGCCAGAAAAAAATACTTCATCCTCTACAAATTGTATGTATGAAGTCATGTTACTATCCATTGTTTTGTGTTGGTGAATGGTAATAGCGCACATTGTATATGTATACAATTTCAGCAATCCACTCACATGCAGGCAAACTATTTATAAATCACAATACAAACATGGAATTTCATAAATATATATTTAAATAAGATATTTCAGTATTTTTCCATAGCCGACATCTTCCACATAAAACACAAATACAAAAAAGGGTTTCCATGTGTTAACACGATGTTACACCCGATTTGTGTAATCTAGTTCAACCATAAACAAAGAAAGGTGTGTTTTTTGTTTTGTTTTTAACAGTTGAGATTTTTTTTTTTTAATGGTTACTGTATCTTAATGCAAGAGAGAGAATAAGCAACAGACATAGATGCAGGAAACAAGAGAACTCCTTATTTGTAACAATATACTGGATTGCCTTTTCAGGCAGTTTATTTACAGCACATGGAAAACCAGGTTAGTCAGTCACAAAGTATTAGTATGACAAGGAAAACAAACTAGATTTGCAGATGTACTGTAACAGAAAAGTAATATTAAACTCTGTTCTACTTAAAGGAACAGTCTACGGTTAGAAATATATTTATCTACTTGATTGTGTTAGATTACTGGGCTCCTGTTTACAATTCAAAATGAAAAAAAAAAGAAGCAATTAAAAGACCACTAGTCATTGAGATGATTTGGCCTGGACAGAGTGACCCTGTCATTTTGGAGAACATTACAGGGCTAAACACACCTTTAGTGGCGGTCTTCCAAATGCACTTTGTCTACAATGCCATTGTAAAATTTTGTTTTATAATGATCAAATGCCAGCAGACACTGTATAGAACTGCAGAATATCATGGCAAAATAATAAACAAACATCAGAACTACAACATTTCAAAAGAATATACAGCTTAAAAACCCAGTCAGGATATAGATTACATACCAAAATATGCAAAACACACTACTATGTGTATAGTAAACTACTATACCGATTAAGGACAAAGAAGCAAATAAGACAATGGAGAGATTAATCTTAAGAGTGTAGTTCCAAAAATTGCTCACAAATGGCATATTTTGTATTCTTAAATTCTGTCATTCTTGATTTTCCTGAAATTATAGATTGATTCTGCATTTGCCAGCAAGGTTTCCTGTGGCCCAAGTGTGTGGGAAACCTGCTACTGTGTGGTGGGCTTCTCCATATTTGAAATTAGTGTAAAAAAAATAAATAATAAAATGTCATTTTCCATTTCTAAAGGGCAAATTTTGTAATCTGTGAATTCGGTTTTATGTGAACATTTTACACAATGGGGTCTGTTCCCAAATAATCAGAAGTGGTGTGAAAAATAGCTATTTATAAATCTCATGAGCTGCTGAAAATTCAAAAGGACTGTTGGGGTGCAAAACAGGGCACGGAACTTTAGGAGACACTTAGATAAATCTCTCGTAATGTATACATGGAGGAAAGAAGCAACCCACCTCTGAGCTTTTCACAAAGAACTGCAAAAATCATTGATGATGAATGGCATGATAAAAATATACATAACATGATTAGAGAAAATAAATGCAATAAATAAATAATGGTGGCCAACCTGTAATTCAATGAATAGCTACTACCTGAATACAACTCTGTAATCTAAGAGCTCTAATTTGAATCCAGCATTAATGAGAATTCTGAGAGTTGTAGTCAGTCAGCAGCTTGAGAACCACAGCTTGTTCACCTGTGAACAAAATGTCAACTACAGAGCATGAGCTAACTTGAAGCAAGCATGCAGCAGGCACTCATACACAGCTAATGGTGAGCAAATGGTAAGGAATGATTAACAGGAAACTAAAATAAAACTGACCCTACGTTTTAAAGAATTAGTAAACATTAAGATAATACAGCAGAGAACAATTCAAATAATAACAAAAAAAAAACACGTATCTAGCTGCTAGTAAAATAGCTGCAGTCAGACTCCTATCAGAAGCACCTCCTTCTGGTTTCTGGGGTCTTTTCTTATCCTAAAATATTTACTAATCCAGAAATTCTAAGCATCTCAGGCTCCAGGAGTTCTGTGTGTCATTGCCTTTGCAATATTAATTGGTAATGTGACATTTTATATGGGAACTATTCCCATATTTCAAAAATCCATCCCAGCTGAAAGCTTACTCCTGATCAGACTGTATTAATTACACTAGGATTTGCTTTTGAGTTTTGATTACATTTTCGGTCATCCATTATGGAGAATAAATCTCCTTCACAGCAATTTATAGCTTACAAGTGAAAACATTTATAAACTTGTACGTGGCTACAAGCATGACACACTCCGTAATATGCGAGTGGGCAAGTTAAGAAAGAACATCTCTTGGTCCAAAAATATTGTTTTCACTACTGTAACACAATAAATAATCACTGATACCAAAGGGAAGAACTGCCGTTCATAGGGAAAGGTATGCAGTGGAATCAATTGCATTTAAACCATTTGGGAATGCGGGAGTTTATCCAAAAAACTATTTGAGAGTATTTTGGAATACACATACAGAAAATGAGGGGGAGATGAAATGCAATATATTTCAGAATATGATGTTAGGCACTGTACGGATCAGTGAAATGTGTTTGCACTTTATATAAAAATTCATTCATTTAAAAAAAAATAATGAAAAAAAAAACAAGGAAAAAAACAACTCCCCACTCCCTTCCCCAACTTGCAAAAGTAACAGAACACACATTTTAATATTTCCTAAAATCTGACAAAATATCTAATGATTGCATTTGTGTAATAATGCCAAAAATACAAGAACAGCTAGCTTTTAGAAAAAAATGGGACTTTGGCGATTTGCAAAGATTTAGGATTGCCAAGAGAATACCCTGTGCTGGACGTAAACTTAATTTCCTTGAAACAAGTGCAATATGAAAGGGACTATTAAAACAACACATTACAGCACTAATAACATGACATAAAATATGCAAGGGGTAACTGAAAAACGGTTAATTATTTTTATATTCTTTTGTTATATAGAATAAGGCAGTGCTGTTACATGATACTCACTGTGGGCAATGAAGCTTTATGATTGTGAGGTCTTGTTTATCAGTTTAAACAATAAATCAAATAAGAGATTTAAAACATAGATTCATTTCAGATGTATTCAGGGTGCAGCATTACATTTATAGTAGAAATGCTACAATATTTTTGGCTCTACTTCGATCCTCAAAATGGCACTACTACCTGTCATATGGGGTTGCAAGCCATAGTTTAAGATACCAAATGGGTACAATGCCAGACCAAGCAACAAGGTATACAGTGAGAATGATATAAGTTGGAATATTCCTGGTGAACTCTTGAATCCCATACCAGTATATTTTAAGGTTTCTGGATTTTTAATGATAGGACTGTGAAGGTGAACCAGGAGTGGATCGGGTATTTAAGTGCAGGACAAGTTTTTCAGGCCTTGATTGCTGGGACAAATTTCACTGCTGGTGTGCGTTTCAGAATGTGTCCCAGTTGCAGATAAAGCCTTATAGCCCATTAAAGTACATATTTATCTCAATTGTCTATTTATGCAGAGATTGTCTGTCATGTTAGCATGGGGAAAAGTAGAATATTACTTATAATTTGATCCATACAAGGGGAACTGCTCTATCACCATCAATGTCTATGATAATCCCTTTTTGTCCATAATTTGTCCATTTCAGATCAGGCAATTAGTAGTGAAACATTATAGCCAATTCCTCTGTAGACACCCATTAGCGATATAAGGATTTATTCAATAAACTGAATTGTGGTGAATTGTTAAGGAAAATCAACGTTAAGGCTTAAAGAGCTAAGCAGGCAAATCTTTTCCAATTCTGCTATAGTGGGCCTAAAATTTGCAGTTCTAATGAACAAACCCTCCTGTGTGGCACCTCTAGAGATGGGTTACCACTTCTACAATCTTTATATTTAAAAAAAACACAGCACTATATACTGCACTACTGCATTAAAGCAGCAATACATGATTAAATAAAACCATGTAAAAATATTGCACATAAGACATTTGTAAACATTTTGCATAATATAAAGTTATTTTCTCACATACATGACAAACAACCTAGAGGTAATGCTGCTTTAAAGGGACACTATAGTCACCTGAACAACTTTAGCTTAATGAAGCAGTTTTGGTGTATAGAACATGCCCATGCAGCCTCACTGCTCAATCCTCTGCCATTTAGGAGTTAAATCCCTTTGTTTATGAACCCTAGTCACACCTCCCTGCATGTGACTTGCACAGCCTTCCATAAACACTTCCTGTAAAGAGAGCCCTATTTAGGCTTTCTTTATTGCAAGTTCTGTTTAATAAAGATTTTCTTATCCCCTGCTATGTTAATAGCTTGCTAGACCCTGCAAGAGCCTCCTGTATGTGATTAAAGTTCAATTTCGAGATTGATATACAATTATTTAAGGTAAATTACATCTGTCTGAAAGTGAAACCAGTTTTTTTTTCATGTAGGCTGTGTCAATCATAGCCAGGGGAGGTGTGGCTAGGGCTGCATAAACAGAAACAAAGTGATTTAACTCCTAAATGACAGTGAATTGAGCAGTGAAATTGCAGAGGAATGATCTATACACTAAAACTGCTTTATTTAGTGTTCCTTTAATGCAGAGACTAGGTTAAGGACCACAACTAGCAGCTGCAGCTAATCTATAGAAAACCAACACCGTGCAAAAGCAAGCTCACAGTGCACACTATTCTGCATTACCTTCCGCAGGGGAGGATAGCTCCCAAGGAGGAACAAAAAACCATTTCAAATCCCTGAGAAGATCTGCAGTGGGCTCCCTGCCCACATGTACTGGATTGCTAGGCTTTTCTTCAAACGCTGAAATAAAATCAGGAAGCAAGCCAGCCAGGCAGCCACAGGGGGTTAAACAAAAAAGGGAGATTGAAGGTAGAGCAAGGCAGGAGCAGAGCATTCACAATATATGGCAAGTGGGATGGTTCGTAAATAGGGCAATGGTATAAGGAAAGAATTTAATTTAGGAATAAGAGAAAGCTGAAAAATAATATGAGTACAAATGTTTTTAAAGAAAAAAAATGTATTGTGTTTATTGATCAACACAGGCACTTTAATAGTTAAGTAGTTTGCAGCTTTTTAGACAAATTTCCCCCATTTGGGCTTGAACCGCTTTAATCCCTCTAGTCCCATACCCCATATACCCAGACCTATGTATCCATAGCTCAACACTGTGTTCATAATTCTAGCCATTTTAATAGCTTGGTAATAAAAAGATATTGTAATCTGAGTTTTAACTTTTTGTTCTGTATGTTTTTTTTACAATTTGGCAACACATTAGCTTGCACTACCAGGAATCAAACCACTGACACTAGGTTTGACATGTTCAAGACATATTGCACCTGGAACATTTACTCAATAATAAGGAATTGCATTCTAAATGATGGCAATAATAGTTATTTATCTCTGTTCATTTAGGAGGACAACACACACGTTTGGTTTTAGGCTTTTGCAATGCAGACAGACAGCGTGGTGGCACGTTTTGTATTACTGTAATGATGTATACATTACGATAAACAATATATTCATGTATAAATATAAATTGCAGGAGCCTGGCACTCACAGTATCTCTGTATTGTAGGTGCCCTGGTGCTTAACTCTGAGCCAAAATATAATTGAAAAAAGTCCAGCATGGGACTGAAAAGTTGACATGTTAAGCATTTGAAAAACAAAGATTAAAGATTTGCATCTCAAGACCTCGAGTGCACTGCCAATTGTGTTTTTTTTTTTTTCTCACATTGACCTACATGGTCACATCTCGTTAATGCATTCACAGGGTTTACCTTTCTTAGGTAGTGTTTTGGATGAGCCTGTAAAGAATTTTTTGACTGTAGTTACTTTCCTAGCCTTCTCACTGGATTTCTTTTCCTCAAACTTGGAGAAGGTAAGCGAAGATTGCCCTCCCTGGGCGCCTTGACTGCTTGCATATGCCGCCTCTTCTTCCCGCTGTAAGCTACAAAAGTCACACATCAAAGGTCAATCTTCACTTTATAAGTCCACCTTAAACTCACTAAGCCCAGTAAAAATTAATCTTGCCCATGGATGGTATCACAAGGATTACCATATATTGATCAGGTTTAAGAGCTCAAGAGACAAAAGGTCAAAGTATTGTTTAATATGAAAAGTAAGAAGAGGGCAAAGAATATAGGATTTGATAAAAGTTGATAAATAGCTGTTTTATTAAACTGCAGATTATCTACAGCAGATAAAAGTAACGAGGAGTTCATCATTTAGAGGAGAAAAATTAAGAGAATTTCTGAAAGGGAAGCTATAGTCACCAAAACAACTTTAGCTTAATGAAATAGTTTTGGTGTATAGATCATGCCCCTGAAATATCATTGCTCAATTCTCATTCCCATTGCAAAGTGACCCTGTATAATTTGCAAACATATTAATGGTAAACTGTCTCCTTTCAACAAGGAATAATAATTGCTATATTTTGCGGTGAAATGTAGAATTAGTAGTATCCAACTTCTATAAATAAAGCAATAGAATAAGATAACTCAAAGAACAAAAAATAACATTTCAGAGCACTCTGTTCAACTCTGCAGTTCTAAATACGAATATCTGGCCCCAGCATAAAGTAATCAATAAGCCAACAAGCAAAAAACAAATGAAGCTGTATCTCAATGAAAGAGTAATGGAGAGCAGAGAATAATGGAGATATGGGGCTGTAACATCACTTCTATCAGTTGCAGAACATCTGAACTATAAGGTTAACCACCAGTACTCTAAATTCAAACATTACTGAAAGTTTCTGAGTATCCTTCATCTGAAGGGAAAAAAAAATTACTAAAAAATAAAATAACTGCTAAAGATTTTTCAGACTTAAAAATTAAAACGATAAAACATATACCGTTCAGCAAGTTCCCAGTCTTCTTGGATTTGCTTCTGCCGTGCTTTCTGATACTCTTCCCGCCAGCATTTGGAGCAGAATCCCTGCCAGGCCGGGTTCCCATAATATCCACATCCCTTTTTACACAGTAACTCTGATTGATCGACATGGATTGCTCTGCGCTCCGACTTCAGGCTCATCTTATTTCTGTAGTAGGGAAATCAATGGATAACATAAGCATTATTTCCAGGCCTTAGTTCTGCCAAAATTAGAATGGCCTTTTACAACTGAGCACACTGATTTAAAGTGGGGATATCATGCACAATTGAATAGATCAGTCTCTCTTATGTGTATGTACTTGCTCTCAAACAATGCCAAGCAAAATACCAACGACACACAAGGATCAACATAATCCAACAGCTCCTAAGCAGTAAATAATTTATCATAAAGAAGATATCCTATGTTTGAAAGTGACACCCTTCCGCCCCCCTCCACCCCCCTCCCAACACACTTAAAGGGATCTTATAGTGCCAAGAAAACAAACCTGTTTTCCTGGCACTATAGAGTTAATAGTGCCCCCCGCCCTCCTCCCCCTCTGTCAGGGCCCCTCTCCTATGGTGCTGAAGGGGTTGAAATCCCTTCAGCCTGTTACCTGAATCCAGCGCTGACGTCCCTTAGCGCTGGTTCAGGCTCTGCACACGCTCCTTCCCACGCCGGGGAGACCAAATGTGCATGCGCGGCCAAATGTGCATCCGCGCACACATTAGACCTCCCCATAGGAAAGCATTATTCAATCCAGCATCAGATAACAGACCAAAAGTCCGTTTCGATTCCGGAAGCCCTCTAGTGCCTGTCTATTGTGTCTGACAGCCACAGAGGGCTGACTTAGAGCTGCAATGTAAACATTGCAGTTCTCTGGAAACGCAGTGTTTTACATTGCAGCACTAAGTGCAAAAGGGTCACAGCACCCAGACCATTTCAATTAGCTGAAGAGGTCTGGGTGCCTACAGTGTCCCTTTTACTTCTATTTGCTGTACAAACCATTTTTTCCTCTCTCAGGTCACTCGATAAAAGTAAACATAACTATATATTCTAATTATACCAGCAGCCTTTTCTTCTGCGTTCTGTAAATATACACAAAATAAAGAAAACTGCTGCTCTAACAAAAGCTTCATAAATGTATAAGCAATAGGGTGTGTCTTACTTGGCTATGTTTATATTTAGTCTTGGCTCTGGTCAGCACTTAAATTTTTTTTTTTTTTACATATTCCCAGAGGGGAATGGTTTCGGTTTCCTGCTGCAACTTGGACAACTAGATAATTTCATAAGAACTGTAAACTTGCATAAAATTGCAGAGCACATTCTGCACCTTTTATGGTAGGGAAGAGAACTCACCATAGCAACTACGTTCTAATGATCACATGTATTTTTTTTTTTTATACAGATTTTATTTATTAAGGACATTTTACATTTTCAATCAACTTTATTGAACAAGGTACCATTAATGGACAAGTTTAAATGGCTACTTGGTAAATATAAAAAAGTTTGGTTGTAAATTGTGTAAAATAGTCTCTTCCATAGATAGACATTAAGAGCATGCAGAAATCCATGGAATAATAGTTTACCATGGCAGTGTAGGGAAATCGTGTTCTAGGATCCCTAAATATATTTTACATTGCAGGGTTAGAGGGAAATGAACACTGCACCCAGTGCACTTCAATGAGAAAGTGGTCTGAGTGCCTATAAGGTCTTTTTAAATGTTCGGTTCTTTTTGTATCTCATTGCTGAAACAATAAAATGTTCTAATCATGTTATACATTTAGAACTTCATTTGTGGAAAACATGGCTAAAGGGGAGAATAAAAAAAAAAAATAATAATTATGGAATTTTGCCACAGCCATTTCCAAAATTTTAAATAAAGCACAGTATTTGGGAAAAAGGTCAACCTGCAATTTAAATCTAAATAAATGAAAATTATAAACTAGCAGAAAAAGCAAAAATAATCTATACTCCTGTTAAAGACTTAACCATTATTTAAGGTTCCATTTGACCACAGGGGAAAAAAAAAAAAAAAAAAAGGGGTAGTAATCTTATCTCTCTCTAGGAAATGTTTGAGAAAGAATGGAAAATGTTTAGTTGATTCAACAAGTTCCCCTTAGGATACTCCTACGATCAGCTGACATTTTTAGGTATTAAAAGTAAAAAGCCAGGGATTTTAGTCAAGTACGAATACTAATTTTAATAAACATTTTGGGGATGGGGGTTGCTTAATAGACCTTGTATGACAAAAAAAAAAAAATTTAAAATACCAATAGTTCATTTTTATTTATTTTAACATGGTTGAAAATATGTCCAGAAGACATTAAAGATGAAACATCAATTTCCTGTTTTAGCATCTGACCATTTTATAAGTCAAGTAATCGATGCTTATATGTCATGATCAGCACTAGAAACTAAGAGGTCAGCTGAAAAACCACAACGCGGAGGAAGTGTAAATTACAGACATATACAAAAATCTGTCTTGTGATATAGATAATCCATTTGTATAGTGTGTATTTACGAGCTGGTAATTTAAAAAAAAAATAAAAAAAATTAAACATGTACAAAATATTATTTGTAAAATTTAAAAAAATATTAAACTGATGCAATGCAAGCCCAAGTAATATAAGTTAAAAAAACAAAACAAACAGAACACTTAACTACTACCTAAGCTATCCCCAAGTTATATAATTATAAATGTCAACAATGACATTAGCCAAACTAAATAATAAACAAATCTGCCTGCATTCTATATCCAACATAGAGGAATGTCACACTATAGGAGTATATTCACTAATGCAGGAATTGTAGTAATTAACAAAACATTTTAAAATTGGAAGCAAAAAAAGAAACTAGAAACATGGTCTATGATTGTCTACATAAGCCTCAACTCTGCAATTCGATTTTCAATTCAATACAATTCTATGTTTAGGGAATACTCCCTGCTGACTCATTAGTATGCAACAACAGGCGAGCCCAAATTGGAATCTGGAAATGCAGGACTTCGCAAGGTCTTCTTCCATATTGGAATAACCAACTTGCCACATGCAGCAAGCATAATTGCATAACTGGTCATTGCGAAAAATATACACACATTGAAAGGTGCGCTTCACAAAAAAAAGTGTATTCTGGTCCAGGAGCGCCAGATATTTACAACATTTAGTTTTTTGTAGAAGGAAATTTAATTTGTCATGTAGTATTTAATTCCTCTTTTTATAAATAACATGTTATGCAAGAAGCAACAAACCATGCCAGAACATTCTTTAGGTGTGGCCTGCACAACATTACTTTTATTAACAAATTTAATACACAGTGTTCCATTCAATCAAGATTAAACAATGAAATCCGATGAGTGAAATTCTATTTAAAGAAACGTCACTTTAAAAAAAAAAAAAATTTTTTTAATAGTAATATGCTCATCAACGTCTTATATTTAATATGCGTTTGTGAGGTGTGATAAAATAAAACTAAATGTAAATATCCACAACCCAGGGTACCTCCATGCCAATCATGGTTGTAAACTCTGTCCCTTGTACCAGGCAGTCAGCACAGAAAAGAGCAGAAATTAAACTATATTTCTATAAATCCTTCTTATTGCAATGGTTGCTCTGGCTAAGCCTGGCTTGAACTGGCTTGGTATACAAAAACATTTTTACATACCATTGTTTATTTACTATTGTTTATTTTCCTTAGGATTAGAGGCAGTGCACAACAACAGGGATATCCACTATGTCTTGGCAGGAAAAGGCAGGCAACACACTAGAACTTTAAACATTAAGCTCCTCCTAAGACTCCTTCCAACAAGTTACAGGCATACACCGCTTTACGAACCATCACTTTACGTACACTCGCGAGTCCCCCGCATGCTCATGTGAATTCACTGGGAGCCATCATGACTGTATTGATGACAATATGTTTACTCAGAGACTTGCTTGCTCTGGCCTTGCTCCAGAGGACTGTTAATGTGGGCTGCTGTTTTACCCTAGTTGGCAAGGTGAGTACTTACACATATTAGGAAAAACTGCCTATACCTTTTGTGTTCGGCTAAATTGGACTAATACTTTCTTCTCTCATAGTTCCTGCTTTCTTTCTCCACAAGTCACACTTTAATAAGTAAACCCGAGATTCATAATATATAAAAACAAATTCACCTGACCCACCCTTAAATGACCACTATAGGCACCCAGACTACTTCAGCTCAATGAAGTGGTCTGGGTGCCAGGTCGCCCTAGTTTTAACCCTGTAGCTGTAAACATATCAGTTTCAGAGAAACTGCTATGTTTACATTGAGGGTTAATCCAGCCTCTTGTGGCTGTCTACCTGACAGCCACTAGACACTGCTTCCGCGATTCTCAGTGTGATAATCACACTGAGGTGACGCTGGACGTCCATAGGAAAGCATTGAGTAATGCTTTCCTATAGGTGGTTTGAATGTGCATGCGGTTCCACTGGGGAGCTGATGTCGGCGGGGGAGGAGAGGTCACCAGCATCCAAGGGAGCCCGGCAATGGATTAAGGTAAGTGGCTGAAAGGGGTCTTAACCCCTTCAGCCCAGCTGGAGGGGGGCCTTAAAGGAATGGGGGACCTAATAACCCCATAGTATCAGGAAAACAAGTTTGTTTTCCTGGCTCTATTGTGCTCCTTTAACCTACAAAGTGATCAACTATCGCAATATTTTGAACTTACTATTGTGACACTCACTAAAAACGGCGTAAATACAATAGCAAATCATTATGAATAATTACCCAGCTCTTCAGGTTAAAAGAAGAGAATAATTTTGCCTTTGTCTCTCTTTTTAAGGCACTTTTTTCCAGAAAACCCTCTGGCTGTTTTCACCTTGAGACTAGTAGTTGCAAATTCACCCCTCTTACCCTCCAGCTTTATGGCTTAAACTGATATCTTACTTCCAGCTTTCAAAGCAATCCTTGCAGTCTTACTGTATGTAAAGCACATTTTTTTGTAGAGAAAATTAACTATGTGGCAGGAAAACCAGAAGAGAAAAAAAATAATTGTATTTTCTTATATTAGTTATGCCTATAAATGACTATTGCAATGCATTGGGAAGTGAATTTTCGTTTTACATAAATGCTCTGGTCCCATTGTGTTCTTAAAAGTGGGGGTATGCCTGCATAATATTCCCAAACCAACTTAGAAACCCTAGAAAATATACAAGCCAAGTAACTGCAAACATTTTTATTAAGTAGAAAGGGAAACGTGAACTTCCTCTAATCCTAAGGAAAAATAAAATTTACAATAAGTAAAATGTGTTTTTTCCCCTCCAAATTAGAGGCAATGCGCAACAACACTGATAACCAAGCAATCCCCGTTATTTTAGCATTGCTTGAAGCACCTTGCGCCCAAAAACAGAATCCTAAGAGGTCTCTATGTCTATTTAGTATTTTGAGAAAGTGTGAATGAAGGACCAGGTAGCTGTCCAGCAAGCTGAGCCTCTTAATAGATCTGTACCACACTTCGTTTCTTTCATAAACATTGCTATCTGTTTATTATTATACTGGCAACCAACAGGGGGCCACAGCTACATATCCTAATACCATCTCATTTGGAACGCGGAAGTGTTATGCCATTTACACTTCCGGTTTCGGCTGATCGCAAATGTGATCTCATCGGAACGCATGAGATTGTGGAACGCAGAAGTATTGTGTCGCCCGCACTTCTGGTTCCGGCTGATCGCAGATGCAAGCAATGGTGATCATGATGAAATGAAAATAAGAAAACTACAACAGCTGAATAAGACCGGCCATCACACCAATAACAGAGAGGAATAATGGAAACACCCATGGATCCACCAATGGACCCAGGGAGTAGCCCTATATAAGGGGATTATTAGGTGTGGGGGGTGGTGGGAAATAGGCTGCTTTCATATTGTTATTATTTGTATTTGGTTTTAACTTGTATGGTCCCTGAGGAAGTTCCAGTACTTGGAATGAAACGCGTAGGACCTTTGCTGTTTATATTTTATCATTTATGGGTGATTGTTCACCTCCCAATAAAGCTGCTGACCTTTTTTTAACCACCTACTGAAGTCCTGTTTTACATCCACCCTACCAGATCAACAGGAGGGAGAAAGAGAGCCCCCCAACAATATCGGGAGAGGCACCCTTGAGCGCTATTACCATTCATATCCTGTGAGTGCATTTCATTGAGCGCATAATTGCTTACCAAACTGTATTACACTATATATTTGTTTTGTTCCTTATTTTTAGATTTCAAAGCAATATCCCAAACGTTTTTGGTTTTTCTATAATGCTGAGTAAAGGTCATTCTGTCTGGGTAATGACCTGGGGAGGCTGTTTCATTTATTGTTAAGATAAGTATAATTCATACTTTGTATTCACTAAACACATTCACTTTGTGGTGATACGTTTTTATTGTTTCTAAAGAAGAATGTTTTAGTCCACCTTTTTTCGGTCTTCTTCCAGCCGATCCTCTTCTACTTAAGCACCAGGAAGCGACATTACTGGTGAACTCTCGCTCATGAGTAAAGCAATGAAGTCTATGGAAGATCCTGTGACACAGCGGGATCCTCCATAGCTAAATACTTGCTGGGGAAATGACACTTCTGGGTGGCTGCAGTCCCATCCAGTGTCTAGAAAGAAGTGTCAGGCGTAGGACAACTACTGAGACAAAATAGTCCCTACTTTGTCTCAGTAGATCTCTTGACTGTGCTGTTATTTCACTGAAATTCCATCATTATACTCATGACGTGCCTGTAACAAGTGGTTGTATGATATGTGCATAATATAAGTCCCCCACGACCTCTGACAGTTGCAGTAACTTAAAGCAGCTTGCACTACCTTACATTATTGAGAATATTAAGAGAGATATAGTGGGTGCTGGATGTAGCAATATCAAAATATAACACTAGTCAAGCAAATGAATAATTAAAAGCTCTATTTATTTAATACCAATATATTCAAAGGCTCTGTATAACGGGTATATGAAAACACATGGGTGACAAAAGTTAAGATGAACATAAATGAAACACGAGGAGGGCTCTGCTTGTAATCTAGGGAAACTAAAGTATGAACCAAGACATAAATAGAAACATCTAAAAAAAGGAAGAGAAATCACCATGTAAGATGTCCATACCTGAATAAACATATGGATAAAAGTCATGAGATATGCAGTGCAACTGTAAAGTGGAAAGTATGGTGAGATGGGGTGAAAATGGATTATGGAAGGGCCGGTTGTGGGAGGTGAGGCAGAGATGGAGGGGTATAGAAGACTTGTCTTGTAAGCCTTCCCAAATAGATCAGTTTTAGGGACTTCTTACAGGACAAGAGTATAAAAGCCTAGTAGGACTATGCATAGCATTATGAAAGGATGTTGCTTTCTTTAAAAATCATCTAAAGTAGGGGTAGGAAACCTTCGGCTTTCCAGATGTTATGAACTCAATCTCCTACAATGCTGTCAAAGCCTCGGGGAAGACGTAGTCCACAACACCCGGAGTGCCAAAGGTTGACAACCCCTGCTCTATGGGATAGGTGTTAAATTAAGTTCACAGGAGGGTAAATTCAATACTAAACCAATAGAAGAAGACAATGTACCAGCAAGGTGTTATTTGTACAAAATAGTGTGTAAATGGAGATATCTGGCAGCTACGTTTATCATACACTGTAGTGGGGTTATAGCCTAGTGGCAGATCAACAAACATGGATTGCTTCAATTCAAATGTGAAGGGAGAAGCATAAACAAGCCTTTAGTTGGAACTTGCATCATTAAGGATGACGCAATAAATAATTTATGAAAGTTAGAAAGAATGTTCTGATGAGTCGAGGAGACATGGCAGAAAATGTAGGCGGCCACAGAGTTTACCATAAAAATGTGTCATTTTTTATTCGCACCCATAGGATTACATTTAAAAAAAAATAAAAAAAAATTATATCAAAATACCAAGTAGCAAAGCACCACTGTGACGGAGAGTAGTGAAAAGGATCAGCAAAATATCGCAATTTTACGTGTTTCATTCAAAAATCATTTCAACATCTTAAATGTAACTCTACAGGGTTGAATAAAGAATTTTATGGTAAACTCCATGGACTCCTGACTTTTCTGCCATTATTACATCTGGAGTGATTTGCTTTTCAAATGTTGTAGCCATTGGTACCCTCATTCACGTTTTTTATGTTTCGTCTATGCCGGACTTTACTATCTATGTTTACATATTAGAAGGGTGTATACTGTGTCTTTTTACTGTGGTTTTAGCAGACAATCCATATTGCAAAATATAGTCAGCTCCCCCTCTCCCCCCAATTAAAAATAAAAATATATCAGATAAAAAGTTAATCTCCATCTCTTGTATTGTTCTAACTACACACTATCCATTTTTAAAATTATGTCAATTTACCAAGCATTATGGTTTTAGCTCCAATGTGCATGATTAATAAACTTGCATATCATTTAATACACCTGGATGCCTTTGATGAAAAACCCAAAAAGGTTTCAACTGCCCCTATTTTGGCTCACCCAATTTACTTTTGTGAATTACTTTTTTTCTAATCTTTTATTCTGGTTAGTTTGTCAAATTGTTCAACAACAAACGTTGTGTTACAACAGACTGAAAACTAGCTTGTCTAGAACAAATAGCTCTGTACTCAAACTAGTATTTTTACATTCCTAAAGTAAATGTAAAATGCTCTAAAATGTACAAACATTTTTCTGAGTCATTGCTCTCTGCATCCTGGATTTGTCAAAACTGTGTAATAACATGGGGATACAATACATGTATTTTTAGTACGATATAATCTAAACTGGGAATGGGTGGCTCGTGGTTGACATGATTCATAAGAAATAGTCAGCATGAATGTGAGTAAAGCAACGACACTTTACCTGATCACCAATATGAATTCTTAACAATAGGAAATAATTCCTCAACAAAAGTTAAAAAACAAACAATAAAACATAAATAAAATGTGTGCCACTACAGAAGATCCTGCTATAACTGCACTGTAATCATGACAATTGCAATTATTTCTTAGATCAGTCATAAAGTGAGACAAAAAAGTTATTGTATGGCCTTTACACTGTATATGTGATTTTAGCATTGGTCAATGAGTCAGTGAACAGGACCTTGCCACTCAATGGTGAATAAACGTTATGGAAATGAAACCAAAAGCACACGCAACCGCACACACCTATAAATAACTCAGTGAGACCAAGGTAACCCTTAAAATAGCACAATTTGTTTAAAAAAACACTGCAAAGTTTTATATAACAAAAATAGTAATGCACTCCACCTTCCTTGATGTACTTGCCCGGTGCTTATCAGCAAACAGATACAGCCAAAAGTACAAGATAGCACTCCAGGGACTTCCAAGTTGAATGAATAAAACTTAGCTTTTATTAGCTCAAAATAAAAATCAACGTTTCAGTCTGTATCACAGACTTTCATCAGGATGAGCTTGCAAATCAAATCCATAAGAATATATACCCTCAATATTCCCTTAACTTACCCAGGTTATTAAATATATATATATTTTTTTATTAGGGATCAACGGATATTGATTTTTTTTTGAGCAGATACCGATAATTTGTGAACTTTTAGGTCGATAGCTTACCGGTATTCTGTAACATGTTTTTTTTTTTGCTAATTTTTTTTTTTTTATTAAGTGGTAAATGCACAACACTTACATGCCCGTCAGATTTGTTTTCTGTATTTTTTTTTGTGTAGTGTTTGCAGCGTGTGTGTGTGTGTGTAAATATGTGCAGTAGGAACTCCCCTCCCCTTACCTGTCTCTTAGTGCCCCCTGTTCCTCTCCCTTCTCTTTTAGTGGTCCCCCTCCTACCCCAGTGTTCATTTTCCCTTCCCTCCCCTGTACCTTAGTGTCCTCCCTTAATGTCCCTTCACTCCCCCTTCCCTGTCCCATAGTGTTCCTTACCACCACCCCTCCCCCCCATAGTGTTCCTTACCACCACCCCTCCCCCCCATAGTGTTCCTTACCACCTCCTGCCGGTCCCTCTGATCTAGCAACCCTCTGTTGGTGCACCCTAAGGCGGCCGCTTGTGCAGTCTTATGGACGTGCCAGCCCACTCATTCATTATTGGTATTGCCAGTGATTATCGGCTGATACCGATACTTACAAAAAAAATTTTTTTTAAATTGGAATATCGGCAGATAATCGGTCGATCCCTAATATATATTGTGGTTTTAGAGGAGAATGCAACTACATGCATAAAACAATACAAAGCTCAACAAAATCACTATTTAAAACAATAATGATTTTATGTGAGTATTTCGCAATTAAGAAAAATAAATTGTAAAAATCAATGAACTGTTATTGAGACCTGTTGGGAATGCAAAGTGAATTGAAAATTTAAGGTCAAAATAGCCAAACCAAAACCAGAAATTACTTTTTTGGGGGTCTAAATTCTGAAATTCACTTTGAACTCGCACTTCCCTGCAACTCTCACTTCAGTGAATAAACCCAAATGATGTTAATCTGCGTCTTAACTGAGAAAATAATCAATACAGAATAAAAATGTAAAAAATTGCCATGAACAGTGTTAGTATGATAGCAAATAAACAGAAAAGATCACTGGCCAACAACAGGGTGTTAGAACACATTATTGTGTATTGTTAACATGGAATCAGCCAACAAACTTAATAAAACAATGTACAGATACTCCTTCAGGCTAAAGATATACCTACAATTAACCCACCTAACATTTTAAAATATTTAAAATCAGTGACAGTCCAGGATAAAATGAGGATTAAAATATAAAGCACAAACAAATTAAACTAAAAAATTACATAGACAAACACAGATTGGTTTTTTTCCTTTGTGCTTTTTATTCTGCTCCTCCATTTGATTTAAGGTCTGTGTTTATAAAAAACATTTTTATAATAAACATTATGTCAAGCTGGGTCACCACTTAAATTTGATATATAATTTTATCCTAAGGAGAACAAATGTGTTATGCTCTTAAGACTGTATGACATGTAACATACACAGGATGATATAACACTGGAACCAGAGCAGAGAGGCATAGCCCAGCACAATTTGTAGAGTGGCAAGAAATCCGCTATGTCATATTGCGCATGACACCATTTCTTTACAGAACATTTATGGATAACTTTGACACTGTAGTAGTTGTGAACTACAATATAATATGACTCTCAGTGGCGGAGCATCAAGGGAAATGGTTGAAGTGGGAGCGATAAGACCCTGTACAATGCTACAGAATATGATGGAGCCTTTTTATTTATTTATTTTTAATTATTAGCAACGTATACCCGCTGATCATTTATCTCTACGTCCTTGTATCGTCAGGCCTGGCCTGGGCTTCAATCGCCACCCTGAATCTCCTTGTGGAATCTCAGCTCAGTGGCTGAGCATCATGTGAAACCGATAACTCGCTGTACAACCTTACAGAAAACGTGGATGCCTTTTTTTTTTTTTTTTTAAATCAATTATTAGCAATGTATACCCGCTGTTCATTATTAATATTATTTTATCTAGCGACAGCAAATTCCGTAGCGCTGTACAAAGGATTTATCATCACGTCCTTGTATTGTCAGACCTCAATTGCCTCCGTGAATCTCTTGGTTGTATAATATATATATATATATTGCATGCTAATTAAGATTGCCATATCCCTCACATAACCCTGGACACATATTGATAGTCAGCACATGAAAAGTCCTGCCCTGTTGTATGCAGCATTCATAGGCTGTATGCAGCATTCATAGGCTGTATGCAGCATTCATAGGCTGTATGCAGCATTCATAGGCTGTATGCAGCATTCATAGGCTGTATGCAGCATTCATAGGCTGTATGCAGCATTCATAGGCTGCAACGTTCCTCAATAAGTTGATTTCCTATGTGCAGAGTTTGAATTCTACATACAAGAGGGCACTCTGTATCCTCCCCCAATGTGTGCAAGTGAGGATTATCATGGAAACCATGGTGGCTCTGGCAAGCCCAGCATGTCAGCCCTGTCACTGACAGTTTCCCGGCGCCCAGCAATGGGGCAGACAGGCAGCCAGCCGCCCTCCTCTCCCCGTACTATACACAGACAGCCATTCCCTCCCTCACACAGGCTCCAGTCCTGCTCCTCACCTCCTTCTCCCAGCGGCTGCCGGTAGGACACTATGCTCCCCTGTGGGTATCCTCACTCTCTCCCCTGAGCAGAGCCGAACAAACAGCAGGGCCCTGCGTGCTACGTCACCGGGAGCTGTGCGTTCCAAGCCTCGCTCTGGCTGCTGGCTTCCGGGTTTGTGTGTACAGAGTGCGCACAGTGTCCCATGGGCATGTTGTGCTGTGAGTAGTGTTGTTATGTAAAGATTATTGTTATTGTGCAATTTCTGCAACAAGGCCCTGTATTAAATATCACAGTACATTATGTAATGCACCGCAGGAATTCACTGGTGAGGGATACTATTTACTGAACAGTGAATTTAAGGAAATGGGAAGTTCAGGACAGCATATTAATTAAGCCAAAATGTATCAAATGCATTAACGTTATATTCGTGCCCAGAGTGTCCCTTTAAGTTCCCCTATAACCATATATTTTTTCCATTTTAACTTAAATTCTTAAGAAAAGGTTGTCGTATTGATTGCAAATATTTTGTTTTCTTTGTATTGGAATTTTTCCATGCATTGTTGTAATAGAGCTTCCTGTACCCCGGTTGGGTACCTCCACTGACTGATGCTCCTAGTTCTTACCGAAGGCTCCAAGCACTTCTCCAGACACCATAAGTACTGCACACCCCACAATCCGCCGCAGCTTGGTTGGGGTCTCGTCGTCTCCTACCCACCCTGGACCTACGACAAGGCTCCAGGTTCCGTTGGTGAACCTTTCATCCTTCAGAGAGCATAGCAGGAACAGCTCTTACAAGAGCTCTAAAAAAGGTGAGCACCCTTTTTAAACATCTATATATTATTTAAAGAGGATTTCTCTAAAATACTACACCTAGAGTCCCTTTTTCTCTCTTTTCTAATCTCCATATTGGGGAGAGGAATATAGGCAAGAATCTAAACGATAAAGGGGTTAAGCTGTCTACCTTAAAGACACGGAAGCCTGGAAGTTTAGAGCCTAAAATCTTAAAAGGCTCTAAAAAATGTGAGTAAAATCCAAACTCACAAAAAATATTAAACACTGTGTATAAACAATATTGCACGATTATTCTGTGTATCTCTCCTTTTTTTGTCTTTTATGTACACCCCCTAACAAGTCGATTAAGAGGGGTGAGTTACATATACATATATATATATATAAATACACATATCCACTTTGTATAGATTTATATAGCGCTGCACTCTAACTAGAGGCTTGGAAGGTGGAAACTCCAACCAGACCTCAAGTTATTTGTTTTTTTTTCTGGTGTCTACTGTTCTATGGCGGAGTATTGGAAGTACCCACAGAGTGTTTTCAGCGGCTAAAAATACAAAAACAAAATTAAAGGGGCCATAGTCACAGGGCAAAAGGTTGGCAAGTAGTCCCCTCCAAAAAACAGTGACGAGGTCACTTTCGCCACAATTGTACATGCCATTTCTCATTCATAATACAAATGTGAATAACAAAATAATAATAAAATAAATAAATAATGTCACAATCTTATCACCCACCCAAGCCTTGTATTATTGATTTTGGTCTCTCCTTCCAGCCCGATATTCAATCAATTGCTCCTATTCTACTACTTTCACCTAAAGACCATCTTCAGATATGTCAGTTTTTAACACCAGAAACAACACTCATCATTCATCTTTTTTTCCACTCAGCCAGTCTTTTCAATGATTCCCTGCCTGTCCGGAATAATGTAACTGTGTATTTTATATTTTTGCAACATTTGTATAACATTAACTTTTCCATCACCCATTTTATATTGTGCAGCTCAGTGGAATATGCAGGCACTCTACAAAAATGAAATATAATAATCAGTCTAGTCTGTTTGAGAATAAATCCAGAGTGAAAAACCTGATTATCAACCAGGATCTGATATCAAACATTGGCTTAAAAACATGAATTACATAAATTTTTAAATAAAAAGCTAAAACACAAAAAATAACCTCTCTCAATAAAACAGAATGAAGCAGTCATGAACAAAGTGCTAGAGTACAACTGAGTGACTTATACAATCATATACAAAGGCAGTAAATAACTATAAATCTTATGAAAAAGTCCAAAAAAGGTTCACTGCCTTCTATAGAAAGGATCTGTAGGCTGTGCAAAGCTTCTATAGATTAAATGAGCCAGATCCAGTTGCTACAGCAAAGAAACTTTGTAACAAAAGGGTCCCAAAGCTACAATATATTTAACTAGAAAAGCTACAATTTCTGGGGAAATTGTGTGAAGTGTTCTTGTCTCCACCAGTAGTCTATAACTGGAGTGGGCGGAGTAACTGGGTGGAGTGGCTTGAGTAACTGTTGTGTGGTTGGAGTGGCTGGAGTAACTGTGGAAAGGTTGGACTGGGCAGAGTAACTTTATGAAACATTGATTAGCTGTATAGTTGTAACATTGTATGTTACTGTTTTTTTTATTTTTTTATTATTCTTTATTTTGGTTGTGCAGGTGATTACAGGATATCAACGGACGCCACAACAGCGTATTTCAAGATTGACAGTAGTTTGGTAGTGGCATAGTAATTTGCACATTTTTGTATTTTATATCGTGCTGAACCAAATGGTTATGTTGTCAAAATATGATTAACTAGAGTGAAATATGATTAACTAGAAGAAAATAAAATAGATTAATCAATGCTTAACGTTGTTTACATTGGCCTTCGTGTTATGCATACTGATGAACACATACAACTTAAACTCCGCCAATGAAACCCCACTATCGCTGTTTCACAAAGAATAACATCAGGGGTTGGTCAGAGAAGGCATTTGTCGAGCTGTTAGCAGCTTTGAATAACATGCTGAGATACTTAAGTGTACCGCTGGCCATGGGGGCAGGGAAGTTGAAACATGTAAACTTTAACATGACTTAAATGGCCACAGGTCGTATTACGTATAGCAAAATCTCACCAGGTCTGCTAGAGTAAGTGGTAAAGGTTATAACCTGCTAGCCGTCTTTTAGAGCCCGTCAAGTGCTATGCATCAATGACGTTCTAAATATAAAAACATATCTAAGTTCTAGGCTGCTTCCTTTACTGAATTAAACAATGCATACATATCTAGCTTAAGAGTCTCAGGCCCTTAGATTATATTGACTCATTTTTAGCTAGTTTCACAGGTCGACTGACTGACTGTTGAGCCATAGTGCCTCCCTGCCATTCTGTATTGTAAGTTGGTCAGTTGATACCCACGGCTGGCAGGCCGCCGCTCCAGGCCGAGAGTGCTCCTTTAAGAGTGCGTGTGTGCTGCCAGACCCGGAGTTCTCTGCATTGATGCACCAGTGTCAGGTATTTTAGTCTCCGGCTCGGGTCTGAGCCCCTGGGTCTTTTCGGTGCCTGTGGTTGGCTCTGTGGTGCGTGTTTCTTCTTCCATGGTGAGTTAGTCGCAAGGGGTCTTTCTCTGGCCGGTCGGGTTGTGGTGAGGCCATGATGAGGTGAGTAGGCGGATTTGTGTAGGCGCCATGCTCTCCGGGCACCTGGATAGGGAGCTTGTTTTTGTGCGGTTGGGCGTCTATTGCCCTTGTGCGGGCGGGGGACCCGGGAAGTTTGTCTGGGGCGCTTATGGGTGTGGGTTCTCAGTGAGGCTTAGTGTTGCTTGGGGTGTATGGCGTCGGGTGGTGCGTGTTGTGGCTCACCTACATGCCGCCCTTTCGTTCTCGTGTATTTCAAAGTTGTGTCTTTCTGCTCCCTGTGCCCTTGGTTCCGCACGCCCTGAGGTGGCGGTGCTTGCGATTTTACCTGAGGCGTTTGCATCAGGTCCCATAGCTTGGTCCCGAATTGGTCAAAGGCTGCATCCAGTCGCTGCTGAATGTCGCTGCATTTCTCTGTCCTTTGTGTGTGGTTTCTCTCGCTTGTCGCCGCCATCTTAAGCAGGCCATGTGCTTGGTAACCCTTCTGTTGCTTTTCTGTGATCTGCGGTTTCAGGCTGCGTCTGTCTCTCCGATTGCCCATGGATGACCCCCATCAGTCCAAAGGGAGGGGTAGGAGTTGGGAACCCCTGGAAGTCCATACTCAGGTCCGCAGCGTGGTGAGCGGCTGTCTCTCCACTGCCCGATCTCTGGTAGGCCTTGGGTGGTAATGCAGGGTCTCGGTGGGTTACACGTTTAATTTTGGCACCCAAGGTGCCAAACTTAATGGCTCCTCTCCTGCATGCTCTTGTGCCATTTTTGGGGGGTTAATTCCCCAATTTGTGCCGTTTTGAGCAGGAGCCGAGGTGCAGCACTACCGCTCCGTTTTGGTGCTAGGCTCCGCCCCCTGTATGTTACTGTTTTTCTGTTACAGGTATAACAAATTGACTAACATGGAAATATATTTATTAAATGTGATAGTGCTCACTTTTGTGTTATCAAAACTGTAGGAATGACAGCAGTTTAGAGAAAGTTTTTCATCTAGCAGCCTCTGTGTTCCGGAACACTCTGCTGGCTGCTCACACACCTTGGTTCCTTTGGCAACTCACTCTACAGCAAGGGCAGAGAAGAGCAGTTAAAAACAAACTGTTCCAAATTGCTCACTTCACTGGTGGTTGCCATCTTCAAACGGTCGTAGTTTTAAAAACTATAAATCCTACAGCGAAGAGCTTTATATTGTGAGAATCACAAGACACAGATCTACATTTTGATGCATAGTATGTCTCTGAAATATTAAAAATGAAGGCATAGTCGCAGTTTAGAAATTTCCCTTCAAATTTGAGGTGACTAGAGTGGAGTTTCAATGAATGTCAATGGACGGTGTGAGTTGCAAACAAATGGTCATATTGTAAAAACTATCAGGACTATGGCTTAGCCGTGGACATTAGTGGCAGCAGGGATAGCTGAAAGTTTTGATATAAGATTTGTGTAGGTGGGCTTGAAAATGAGGGAGTGGTGGCAGTTTAGAAATCATGTCATGATTTTTCAGCTTTTGTCAGCTCCCACTCTAGTTTTGAACATTCTGCCATTCATTCCCATGGAACCAATTTTGCCACAAAAATGACGATATTTCTTGAACCATTTGGCGAAACGTTCCATAACGTAATAGCACACCAATTGGGAACAATACGCACGTTTCGGTATATTACTGTCTATGTAGTGTAAAAACTGTGGGAGGAGTTAGGATTATAAATTTGGCTATAATAAGAATAATAATATATTTGTGAGATAATAGTAAGTGGTCTTGCCATGCAAGAACACTTAATAATGTTGCCACTGATGGACTCAAATTGCTAAATATTCTAGTACTATCAGTTGAGTAAATTCACAACTGTTGTGTAAATCTGTCTTGACTTACTTCATTGAGATGCCCCTTTCCTCCCTTCCTGATTCTCTGGATGTACGTAGTGACCGTGAATTGATGGGGAAGTAGCCAAAAAGGAAGCATAGCTGATTTAAAGAATGTTTCCAGTTCAGTTCTTTTTTTACCTTGAATTGTAAATATATTTAAATTTTCAATTTAGTGAATAACCCTCCATGTCTTTCACTTCCATTTCATTAACTCTGCTGTTTGGATTCCCAGGTTGCCATCGGCCCTAGACTTTTGTCCAAGTCACCTTGTGTCTTACATTGCTCTGCTTGGACGTTTGCTACTATCCAGAATTTTGCTCACTGTCTCTCAGTTTATTTCTAGATGGTTGAAGTCTTTCTGCTACAATAATTTCCAGGGCTTAATTTAGATATGAAATTGATGTGCCCTTTGATGCAAATAATTTTGTTTCTTTAGTGCTATGTAAAACACACCTGTCCTTGCCGCTTCCAATAACTATTTATTATTTTAACATTATAGCAAAACCTCCTGACCTCCACATCTTATAACCTGTCTCTAGTCCTTCCTGCTTTCATCAAAAAAATGAGTCTATCTTCATTCCAGAGCAGTCCTGAACTCAGAATGGTAAAATATATATAAATAGTTCAATATTCTTAATAAAAATAAACACTTCAGCAATAAATATTAGAAAATATAGCTTTTAATTTTTGCTTTTGGTTCAAATCCCCAGGCATCACATCATCAGCCTTTAGAAAATGTAAACATGCAAATTGAATGTTTAATTCTTATTGCACATCTACATATGTTAAACAAAATACAAATTCACAATAATTCTTTATATTTGGGAATAAATCTTTATTGGTTGTGTTGTCAGGCTACTATATATAAGCCAGTAAGCCTTACTGGCTTATATATAGTAGCCCTGCAACCCCTGCGACCGAGGTATGTACGCCAGTGCATGCAGATACACATACACTTAAAGGACCACTACAGACACCCAGATCACATCAGCTCAATGAAGTGGTCTGGCTGCCAGGTCCCTCTAGTTTTAACCCTGCAGCTGAAAACAGCAGTTTCAAAGAAACTGCTATGTTTCACTGAGGGTTAATCCAGCCTCTAGTAGCTGTCTCATTGACAGCCGCTAGAGGAGCTTCTGCGATTCTCACTGTGAAAATCACAGTGAGAAGACGCTGAACGTCCATAGGAAAGCATTGAGTAATGCTTTCCTATGGGCGGTTTGAATACGCGCGCGGCTCTTGCCATGCATGCGCATTTGGAGCTGAGAGGCGGATCGGGGTGGAGAGATCCCCAGCGCCAAGGGAGTCCGGCGCTGGAGAAAGGTAAGTGCTTAAGACACACACACTCACTCTCATGAACAGACGCATACACACTAGCTAACAGACACACACATTTACTGACAGACATACACTCAGTGACAGACATACATACACACTCACTGATGGACAGACACTCACAGTAACACACTAATTGACACACACTAACACTAACACACACACACTAACACACACACACTCTAACACTAACACACACACACTCTAACACTAACACACTCTAACACACACTAACACACACACACACACTCTAACACTAACACACGCACACTCTAATACTAACACACACACACACACACACTCTCTAACACTAACACACTCTAACACACACACACTCACACACATTTTTTTTTAAATTTAATCCCCCAGCCTCCCTACGTTTGGGAGAGCTGAGGGGATTCCCTGGGGTCCAGTGGTGTTGCTGTGATGTCACCCGGCGGGCCGGCAGGCGGGCGCGCGAGGGAACACTCTCCCATGAGTGCTTCCTGTTCAGCTCCCTTGAGCGCCGCTTACTGATACCGGAGCCGGAAGATGACGTCATCTTCCAGCACCGGTATCAATGCGGTGCGCGAGGGAGCACACATGGGAGAGTGCTCCCTCGTGCGCCCGCCAGCCAGCCCGCCGGGTGACACCAGGGCCAGCTCAGAGCTTGAAAAATAATTTACATAGCAAATGTATTCTGTGTAAAATGTGTTTTCCAGTAGGTGCCGCTTCCAATTTACTGATTTGGCATGTAGTTTGCTTTCTTTAACCCCTTTAAGGACCAAACTTCTGGAATAAAAGGGAATCATGACATGTCACACATGTCATGTGTCCTTAAGGGGTTAAAGGATCACTACAGGGTCAGGAACACAAACCATTGTAATGTAAACACTGCATTTTCTCTGAAAAGACAGTGTTTACAGCAAAAAGCCTGAAGGGAATGATTCTACTCACCAGAACAAATTCAAAAAGCTGTAGTTGTTCTGGTGAATATAGTGTCCCTTTAAAGAATAAAACACACAAATGTGTCTACATGCCTTGTAAAGAGAAAGTGTGATGTGTGTGTGTGTATATATATATAACATACACACACACATACATGTTGCTTAACATTCACAATTACTGAAAGTTAGGCTTGTTAAAAACATATAATTATGTGCGACATAGAATCACGTTTATGCTCAGCAAGCCCCTAAACATAGAACTGCGTATAGGGTTTGTGTTAACTCTGTCAGTTTAAAAACATCCATAGACAGTTGTGTTCTTAGGACCCCATTTACACTCCCTGTTGCTTTTGATTGAAAAAAACATAGGAAATGACCTGGTAACACTTAAAGATGCATTCTATATACCATAAACACTACAACTCACTGTGGTACTTGTGGTGCTAGGAGTGCCCTTGAGCCATCCCCAGTGTCATGTCCCCTGCGCCTCCATACAGCGTGGCCGCATCCGATCGCTGTGGTCATGCTGGTAAAATAATAAAAAAACATACCTAAGGCAAGTCAGCTTGCCATTCAGCACCCTTGTGGAGCGATCCCTCACCGGTGCGGCGTTCTAATGAACGCTGGCCGCTGCGGTCCCACGAAACTATGTAGCCCCGCCTCCGTCCTCAACAAAGATGGTGTTGACGTGCGTGTGACGGCACACAAACTCTGCACACGCACGTTTTGGGGTCAAAGGCTATGTACAACCAATCATATCCTTAGGAGGGTTAATTAAACTCAAAATAGCATTTGGTCAGTGCCCGGTCGTGGTTTCCACTAGTTGGTTAACAGAGAGTGCATTCCTATTCTAATTCTTTTTGGTGTGTGACTTTGACTTGTATTTTTGACTTTCCTGTATTTCTGGTATCCTTGACTCTTGGCTTGTTTCCTCATTGTGTCTCTTTCTGTGTCCCTGACCTTGGTTAGTATTTCGACCATTCTTTATTTACCTTAAGTCCGGCCATTCTAAATAGTTCTGCGCGTTGGGTCATATAGTAATCGTGACACCCAGTAAAGGATCAAACAGTTTGTGTTGCTCCCAGTGTGTAGATTGAAAATAATTACCACAAACAGACTTCTTGCTGACTCAGTTGTGCTCTAACGAGCTTTATTCTGAATGCATAAAAAACATCTATACAGAAAATACTGCGAACATTCGATTTCAAGCAGTTAATGATGGCAAGAAAACATGCTTGCTTATCGTATGTGTGTGTTTACATTTCTAAAGATGTACTAACTTTCTCCTACTTGTACAGTGTACAGTATACAGTATACAGGCCGAATCCTTTCTAAATTACAAAACCGCTTTCATGGATCTTGCTCTGTTTACAGTTATTCTTGTTATCTTTATAACCATATGGAGTCACCGAGATTGTTATGAAAATGTGTTTGGTGATTTACTGAACATATAGCTCTAATTAGACTAATAAATAGCAATGGTAATATACATATATCAATACATATACAACCATATCCAGAAACCACAGGGAAACACAAAATTGTTATACGAAAGCATTCTATGCTTCATGCATGATTTTCTAAATATATACCTCACAAATCCTGTACATATATCGATAGTAAACAAATCAGATATGAACAATTCTACATTGCTAAGGCAGACATTCTCATTCTACTTTAGCTTTATCAGCTTTGTGCATCTTTCAACTGGCCCAGCTAACTGTCATAGGGTTTAACACCTTATCAGGGTATGGTGACATGCCGTGGCCCTTTAACAGTGCGACCGAGCCCCTGTATTATCGGCAATGCCAGATGGAAGTGACATTATGTCACTTGCTTCCAGAGGAAGCTGCGTGGAAGGGAGAGGAGGCAGTACAGGAGAGGAGTGGGAAGGATCAAGGGGAGACGATTCCAGATCCACACTACCATCAGCCTCACAAAGCATCAGCAGGAATAGCTACCCTCCTGCACACAAAAACTGTTAAAATGTTAACAGGAGTTAAACAGAAGGGGTTCTACCTTTTGGCCACCCTTATGTGCCCCTTCTTCATTTTGTATAATTAACACAACTATAAGTTTTTCACATAGTCAGTCAAAACCATTATATATAATATTTATTGATTTACGAGTAGGGCTGCTGTTTCTCAAATTGATGGAAAACACAATGCTGGCTATGATAAAAAGGTGTCAAAACACACAATGCATCACAGTTTGTTGTGTATAAGGCTACGTAGCCAAAGTCTGGTCAGAGTGCTCATAATCACCCCTGTCCACCATCAAAAGCTCTTTCAACAGGGACATGAGCATCTGAAATGGACCACTGGAAGAAGATTGCCTGGTTTGATGAATCATACTTTCTATTAGATTGGTATTAGAAATGGTATTTTCACCATTGAGCAAATCCTACACAGCCAAATAAATGTTGGGATCTATGACATAAAATTTCTGTCTATATTCTATACAGTACAGCAAAAATGGAGACACCATATATTTATTCGGTTCGATACATCTGAATTTTGTTGTTGAGCATTTCTTATTTCTTGATAGCTCTAACATTTTTGTAACTTGACACTAAAGGGTTAAATACATCAAACAAGAGACATAATGCAAAAACAATACAAATACAAACGCACATAATGAAGCCCTGTGCTTAAACTCCCACTACTCCTCGGCAGCAGCAATGGCTACAGTATTCATCATCATCATCATCATCATCATCATCCCAAATGGGAGGAAAGACGTCTATTTTATCCAAGTCTTCAAGATCCTTGTGAAGCTAATGGAAAATTCTACTCCACATTTGTCGTGCAGTACAAAGAGAATCTAAAACATTTCAGTCATGAACTTCACTGAAAGAGAACAAGTATTTACTTTCGTCCAGTTAATAACTTTTTGTTTGTCAATGAACAAAATCCTACTCAGTGTTTTGGGTTTCTACTAGAGACAATTTGTGGATGTGAGTCACAAAACTAAAACTATTTATTAGCAATTAAAAGGACTCTATAGGCATCCAGACCCCTTCAGCTCATTGTAGCGGTTTGGGTGCAGTGTCCCTGTCCCCCTAAGTCCTAAAATGCAAAACATTGCAGACACTAGAGACGCTTCTTGGATTCTAACAGAATCTGACTCTCTTAAAGAATGCTGGACATCCTTATGCTCTGCATTATAAGTTGTATAAAATGAGATTCTAAGATTTTTCCCAAATCAGCTAAAGTAATTACTAACCCTACCCCTGCAATTAATACTTTACATCTCCTATTAGTTTATTTTCTTTATTCTACACTTTGGATTATCTGACCTCTTATTGTTTCAGTAAGTTTTAGTTTATTAGGTTTCCTTCTAGACTCTCAGCAATGACCCTGCATCTGCTCATCTTCAGTAAGTGTTAATTCCACATTATCAATACAGCCAAGAAGGGTGCGGGCTCCAGACACCAGAAAAGGCCAAGGTTATATAAAACCAGTCCTGAGCTGTTTGACAATAAACCAGGAGATGGCGCCAGAACACACTGGTTAAAGTTACACTCTCTGGCAGTATCTGCTATTTGTGGCTGCTGCCTTTAATTCATCCTTTTTTCCCTTTAGTGATGTACCAAGAGAGTAGCGAGAGAGAGAAGCACCACTGCTGTCTCTCCGGCCTCTCTGTTGGCATTTTAGTAATAGAAGAATGACTGACTGGATTCGATGATGTGAAAATATAGCCTGTTCTTATAAAAATATGCTTGGGACTTTGTACTCAGTTAAAAACAAACAATATTTATCTAAGCAAAAATCCTGTACAGCTACAGACAACATCTCAGTCTCAACTGGTTACATTTTCAAGATGCTGTAACAAGCAAGCTAACAATTTAAAAGGAGAGAGGGTGGACATCCAATGAGAAGAAGCAAAAATTAATAGATAGCATTGCAATCAAACTATCCCTATCAAATAACATTTATAGAATAATTACGGAATAAATAAAAAGGGGGATGACGTTGAGCCAGATAATCTAAATAGTACACTAGTAAACTGCAAAAAAAGTCACTTTTACTGGCGATATCATCGTTGTAATACATTTTACTGTTTTGAAACACTAATATTTGTGTTCAGCGAAGTCTCCCGAGTAGAACAGTACCCCCAATGTACAGGTTTTATGGTGTCTTGGAAAGTTATAGGGTTAAATATAGTGCTAGCAAATTAAATTCCCTTTACTTTCGGCATGGGTTGTCAGGCAGGTCCCGCTAATTGTAATTAATTAAGATACCTAATTATGTAAAAATATTACGTAAATATATATGTAGAATTAATATATGTATATATATATATAAAAAGAGAAATCAGATAGTACTCTCAGGACTATAAACAAAAAATAAAACTTAACTTTTAATGAGCTAATACAAAAATCGACGTTTCAGTCTGTTAACCACAGACTTTCATCAGGATTAACACATAAACATTCATAATTTCCATATATAGTATATTACAAATTGATAATCAACTTACACAACACCAAAACAGTTGTTTCTCCCTCTCAGCTCGGTCTGGCACCCACGTGGGTTCGGCCGGCGTCGGAACGTGCGTCAATGACGTCATCACGTGACGCCGGCGTCATGACGTCATCCCGTGGGCGATCAGCTGGCAGCATCATTGGGAGCTAGTTGCTATGGAAGAAAAGCTTCCTAGCAACCAATAAAATAAATAAAAACAAACCACAAAAAGATTGGGGAACCTTACTATTTAAATAGTGTAGTGAGGCAAGTATAACAAAGAGACCTAATACATTACTGTGAAGCTCTTCATAATTTTAGACAATACATATCTTAATTACAAATACCAATATCACTAACTTCAAACATAAGAGAAAAAAAGGATACTAGTATGTATATAGAAGTAAACTGTAGCTGAACACAAACTGCAGTGACAAGTAGCTCCAATACACCAATACAGCTGCCAAAACAATGAGACTGTTTCTAACCTTAGCTGGGGATATGGTGTATAATATCCTGTGTTGCCTAGGCTTAGAGCACTGTAAGTAGCATTCTGTGGAGTTGTGACATTATAATGGGGATTGATGTCTACCCTAGGACAAGGATTTTGATCCCTTTAGTCTTATTGTGATTAAGGCAGGATTATATGTACATCTTACACCCACAATATTATACACCATATCCCCAGCTAAGGTTAGAAACAGTCTCATTGTTTTGGCAGCTGTATTGGTGTATTGGAGCTACTTGTCACTGCAGTTTGTGTTCAGCTACTTGCGTACAATGCTCCAAGTGAGGTCCCACCAGTGTTCTGTACAATGGCATGAGCACTTCCCTCTTTCTACTGCTAATAACTCTCCCTATACAACCAAGCATTCTGCTAGCATTTCCTGCTGCTATATTACATTATCTGCCTACTTTTAAGTCATCTGAAATAATGACCCCTAAATCTAGGCATGTGCATGGGGAAAATTTTCGGTTCGGTTCAGCATTCCGAAATTCGGGACTTTGAGACTTCGGAACTTAGGCAACTTCGGCACTTCGGAATTTCAGAACTTCTGCATTTAGGAATTTCGGGACTTCGGCACTTCGGGACTTCTCTTGCAGCCGCTTAGTAGATAACTCCCTAATTTCCACTGTATTAGGGAGTTATCTACCAAAAGGCTGAAGGACCTAAATTGGTGTTTCAGACAAATTTACTAATACTAAAAATACTATACCGCGAGTAGGGGCAACAGTGAGCAGCCTGTGGCAGGTGGGGGCCATAAATAAAAATATTACCCCCCCAGGGACTAGGGGTCCCCAAAGCCCTAGTCACCCCCCAAAAAAAAATTAACCCCTACCTACCCCCTCACCCTAAAAATAATGAGGGGGGGACCTTTAATTAAGTACCTGTAAAAAAAAATAAAACTTACCATTTGATGTTTTCTTTCTTCTAAAATCTTATTTTTTTCAGCCCCAAAAAAGGCCAAATAAAAAATCCATAATAACCAACGCATTTAAAAAAAAAATCCATCTTCACCCATGGAGGGCTCCGCGCAGACTGAGCTCTGCAGGGCGGGGCAAGGCTTATGAAGCCTTGGCCCGCCCTGCAATTAGGCTCAGAGCATTCTAATTGGTGGGTTTAAGCCATCCAATCAGAGTGCTCTGACAGGTAAATGAAGAGACTGACAGATAAGTCTCTACATTTACCTGTTACAGCACTCTGATTGGTTAGCTTGAAATCCACCAATCAGAGTGCTCTGTGTCATTTTACACAGCGTGGGAAAGTTCTTTGAAATTTTCCTACGCTGTGTAATTTGACTCATAACTTTGTGATTGGTTACTTAATCCACCAATCAGAGTGTTATGAGTCAAATTACACAGCGTGGGAAAATTCCAAAGAACTTTACCCGCTTTGTAAAATGGCACAGAGCACTCTAATTGGTGGATTTCAAGCCAACCAATCAGAGTGCATTGCCAGGTAAATGTAGAGACTTACCTGTCAGTCTCTTCATTTACCTGTCAGAGCACTCTGATTGGATGGCTTAAACCCACCAACCAGAGTGCTCTGAGCCTAATTGCAGGGCGGGTATTTCCTAAATACCGTAGAAATTAGGGAGTTATCTACTTATTCATTCCTGTCATTCCATTGACAGGCTAAGTAACTTACATTTTATATGAATGTATGTTACTTGATTGTTGTAAGTGTTGCAAATGCTTATAGCTGAATCCTGGCTATGTTTGTATACTTTTAATTAAAAATTGTATACAGTGTAACATTCTTCATTCTTCCACTGGGTAAGTATATTAGTTTTTAGGCAATACTGTGTTTCAGAACTTCGGCACTACGGAACTTCGGCAACTTCGGAACTTCAGCACTTCGGCACTTCGGAAATTCAGTAATTTCGGAACTTTGGGACTTCGACAACTCAGCAATTCATCTATTCGGACATTCGAAAGTACCCAATTGTCCGAATTGCCCGAAATTCACATTCGGACCGAAATGAATTGCACATGTGTACCTAAATCCCTTTCCTAGGATGTTGAGGTTGAGGTTAGGACTCTATCAAATATTCTGTACTCTGCCCTTGGGTTTTTACATCCAAGATGCAATATCTTGCACTTATCCACATTAAATGTCAGCTGCCACAACACTGACCATTTTTCTAGTTTACCTAAATCATTTGCCATTTGGTTTATCCCTCCTGGAACATCAACCCTGTTACATATCTTAGTATCATCAGCGAAAAGACATACTTTACCATCAAGACCTTCTGCAATATCACTAATAAAATATTAAAGAGAATGGGTCCAAGTTCAGATCCCTGAGATACCCCACTGGTGACAAGACCATGCTTTGAATATACTCCATTGACTACAACCCTCTGTTGCCTGTCACTCAGCCACTGCCTTACCCATTCAACAATATTGGAATCTAAACTTAAATATTGCAGTTTATTGATAAGCCTTCAATGTGCAACAGTGTCAAAAGCCTTACTGAAATCTAGGTAAGCAATGTCTACTGCACCACCCTGATCCATTATTTTAGTTACCCAATCAAAAAAATCAATAAGATTAGTTCGGCATGATCTCACTGAAGTAACCACATGTTGTCTTCGATCTTGAAATCCATGTGATTTTAGATGTTCAACAATCCTATCCTTTAACATGGTTTCCATTACTTTCCCGGAAGTAATGCTTAGTGGCCTATAGTTGCATGACTCCTCCCTGCTACCTTTCTTGTGAATGGGCACAACATTCGCTAACTTCCAATCTTCTGGGACCACTCTTGTTAACAATGATTAGTTAAATAAATCTGTTAATGGTTTTGCTAGTACACCACTAAGCTCTTTTAATAACTTTGGGTGTATTCCATCACGTCCAATTGACGTATTTGTCTTTACTTTTGACAGTTGAAATAGAACCTCTTCCTCTGTAAACTCACATGTAGCAAATGACTCATTTGTCCTTTTTCCTAACTGAGGCCCCTTTCCTTCATATTCATCTGTAAATAGTTGAACACAAATATTCATTGAGACAGTCAGCTAGACCTTTATCCTCTTCTACAAACCTTTCTTCTTTTGTTTATAATCTAACTAATCCTTGTTTTACTTTCCTTTTCTCATTTATGTATCTAAAAAATGTTTTGTCCCCTTTTTTTAGTGACTGTGCTATTTTCTCTTCTGTGTGTAATTTGGAAGCTCTTGCTTAGCCTCTTTCTGCCTAATCTTATAGATCTGTCTATCTTCCTCACTCTGTTTTTTTTTTTTTTATAAATATGTACAACTATTTCTCCAATGTGATATCAGCTCAGTGACCCATTCCTGAAGTTTCACATGATTCGCATTAGTTCTCAATTTGCCTCAAAGGTTCTCTAATTTAGGCAATAACAGGGATTGGCTAGCGCACCTGAGCCATGAGGACTTCATCTCCCAATATTCCCAGCCATTATTTTGCTGGGGACTCCGGGAGATACAGTTCATATCAGCTTGAGTTACTTAACCAAATGTACCAGATAAAAATAAGAAAACATATGTTTTTTTCTAATAATGCTTTATTAGACTTGAGGTTTGTTTCTGTCACTATACCTTTAAATAATATTAAAAACATTTACCACAATCACTGTGTATAAATGATCATTTAAAATGCTTTTCATCAATTTGTTCATGAATTCCAGCTTTATTTACCTTTAGTAAAGATTAAAGGGAAAGAAATATACATTTCTCCCCAGGGTTAATCTTTCTTCCAGAGTCTCTGCACAACATACGAAGTACAAAGCTGAGATGTGGATTTGGAAGATGTTTGAGCTGTTGTAAGGCTTTGTGCATCACAACAAACTTTAAATGGCTAAAATGTTTGAGGTTGCATCTTTTGTCTGCAGCACAGCAAATAAACCACAAAAGAAGCTGCTATATAACTTAGTTCTCTGTAGAACGAAGCCAACTAAGTTTCACTATGAAGTAGCCATTTCACAGATTTAACAACTACAGATGGTGTGAAGACATTAGTCAGCTTCAGAACATTACAAAGCACATTTTCACCTCCTTAAATGAGCCATGCCATCTTCCACTAGAGCCTAGTTTTTCAACCTGTGTACCAAAAACAGGAGCTATGCCAAAATTGTGCTGGCTGGCTACCTTAGGGGCCCCCAGGATTGCCCTCAGGCAGAATAAGCACCTGCTTACCTGGACTGCAGTTGCCTACTCTTCCCAAGTACAGTGTCCAGGAGGAGGCTGTGGCTGGGTGGTATCCATAGGCGTGCGCACGGGGTGTGCCTGGACACACCCTAATCCCCGCGGCATGCCTCTGTAGTGAGACCGGCAGGGGAGATCTCAGGATCCCCCCTGTCGGCTCATGCAGAGCCGGCACTATCTGAGCGCCGGCGCTATCTGAGCGCCGGCTCTGCTCTAAGCCTCCCTTCACCAACCCACATGCAGTGAGGGAGGCATGAAAGGACCCGTGGAGCTCTTGCCAGCAGCTCCGCCGGGTTCCTCTCGCGAGATCTCTCGCGAGAGTGAACTCTAGCCCCGCAGGCTAAAGTTCACTCTCCACTGGACCACCAGGGAAGGCAGAAAGGATCCCCCTCCCTACATAAGAAGGGAGGTGGGATATTAAGTAATCTGCCCCCACCTCCACTGGACCACTGGGAAGGCAGCAGCATGGTCCCCCCTCCCTACATAAGGTGAGAAGGGAGGGGAATATTTATTAACTAATCTGCCACCACCTCCACCCCCACAAATCACCCAAACATACAGCACACACATACAGTACCCACACACATACAGCACACAAACAGCACACACACACAGCACCCATACACACAGCACCCATACACATACAGCACCCTCACACACACAGCACCTACACACACACACACGGTACACTAACAGCACCCTTACACAAACAGCACACTCACACACAAACACACAACAGCCACACACAGCACACAAACAGTACCCTCACAAACACACAACACCCACACACAGCACACAAACAGCACCCTTACACAGCACACGACACCCACACACAGCACACTAACAGGACCCTAACAAACACACACACAGCACACAACCAGTACCCACACACACACACACACACAGCACCCACACACACACACACAGTACACTAACAGCACCCACACAAACACAGTACACTAACAGCACCCTCACACACACAGCACACAAACAGCACACTCACACACAAACAGCACCCTCACACACAGCACACTAACATTGTAGTGTGTGTGTGTGTGTGGGTGCTGTGTGTGTGGGTGCTGTGTGAGGGTGCTGTGTGTGTGCTGTATGTGTGTGGGTACTGTATGTGTGTATCACAAACAAGAACAATAAAGTATACACACTATAATGGTATATAGATCATATATAAGGGAGAGATACCAGGTGTACCTCACTAACACCTAAATTACATATAGTAGAAAAACAAAGTGGAAACACCTCCCAAATACGTGATATTATAACAATAAATATAAATAACCTGAAATAGGTAGTAATTCGTAGACAGGATCTGTATAGAAAATTAAGAAGCTAACATAGCGTGAGAAGCCTGAATTCCTATTTCGTTTGTGAGTGCATCCATTTTCATTAATATACTCACTTTTTCTAGTACTATATTACGCTATGTTAGCTTCTTAATTTTCTATACAGATCCTGTCTACGAATTACTACCTATTTCAGGTTATTTATATTTATTGTTATAATATCACGTATTTGGGAGGTGTTTCCACTTTGTTTTTCTACTGTATGTGTGTACCCTCACAAACACACAACACCTACACACAGCACACTAAAAGTACCCTCACAAACACACAACACCCACACACAGCACACAAACAGCACCCTCACACAGCACATGACACCCACACACAGCACAATAACAGGACCCTAACAAACACACACACAGCACACTACCAGTACCCTCACACACAGCACACAAACAGCACCCTCACACACAGTACACTAACATCACCCTCACAAACACACACACACAAACACCCACATAGCACACTATCAGCACCTTCACACACAAATCACACTACCAGCACCCTCACACAACACACACAGCAGTGTATGTACCGTTGCAAGAAAAAGTATGTGATCCCTTTGCAATGATATGGATTTCTGCACAAATTGGTCATAAAATGTGATCTGATCATCATCTAAGTCACAACAATAGACAATCACAGTCTGCGTAAACTAATAACACACAAAGAATTAAATGTTACCATGTTTTTATTGAACACACCATGTAAACATTCACAGTGCAGGTGGAAAAAGTATGTGAACCCCTAGACTAATGACATCTCCAAGAGCTAATTGGAGTGAGATGTCAGCCAACTGGAGTCCAATCAATGAGATGAGATTGGAGGTATTGGTTACAGCTGCCCTGCCCTATAAAAAACACACACCAGTTCTGGGTTTGCTTTTCACAAGAAGCATTGCCTGATGTGAATGATGCCTTGCACAAAAGAGCTCTCAGAAGACCTACCATTAAGAATTGTTGACTTGCATAAAGCTGGAAAAGGTTATAAAAGTCTTGCTGTTCATCAGTCTTGGTAAGACAAATTGTCTATAAATAGAGAAAGTTCAGCACTGCTGCTACTCTCCCTAGGAGTGGCTGTCCTGCAAGAGCACAGCCAGACTGCTCAATGAGGTGAAGAAGAATCCTAGAGTGTCAGCTAAAGACTTACAAAAGTCACTGGCAAATGCTAACATCCCTGTTAGCGAATCTACAATACGTAAAACACTAAACAAGAATGGATTTCATGGGAGGATACCACAGAGGAAGCCACTGCTGTCCAAACAAAACATTGCTGCACATTTACAGTTTGCACAAGAGCACCTGGATGTTCCACAGCAGTACTGGCAAAATATTCTGTGGACAGATGAAACCAAAGTTGAGTTGTTTGGAAGAAACACACAACACTATGTGTGGCGAAAAAAAGGCACAGAACACCAACATCAAAACCTCATCCTAACTGTGAAGTATGGTGGTGGGGGCATCATGGTTTGGGGCTGCTTTGCTGCATCAGGGCCTTGACGGATTGCTATCATCAAAGGAAAAATGAATTCCCAAGCTTATCAAGACATTTTGCAGGAGAACTTAAGGCCATCTGTCTACCAGCTGAAGCTCAACAGAAGATGGGTGTTGCAACAGGACAATGACCCAAAGCATAGAAGTAAATCAACATGCTGCACGCTCCAGAGCAGCTTCCTTAAATGTGTGCTGCACCCAGTCATGTGACCAGGCACACAGTGATAACCTCAGAGACCACAAGGGAGGAAACGAACTCCTCCCACGTGTTGTGATTAACACTAATTGGAGGTTAGCCAATCGGACACACCCTGTGTGTATCAAAGCTAACCTCTCCCTTGCCTCAGTGCCCTGTTGTGGTCTTTGGTTTATCATTGAGCGTTGCACTTGTTATTTGGATTTCCTGGTTACTGATATTTGGCTTTGTCTCTCGTTATTCTGTCTCTCTGTTTCCCTTAATCTCGGCTTGTGTTTTGACTATCCCTTTTTGCATAATCCGACCATTCTAAGGATCGGTATTGCAATTCTCTCTACTCTGTCCTGTCTGCGTGTTAGGGTTCCCTAGTGAACGTTACAGGTGAAGAGGGAGCTTTAATCTCTGTGCTCGTACAGCACGGCTCCCTCCAAAGCCTTGCTTTGATGCCGGAAACTGGATTATGACATCACTCTGGTCCCGGCGTCACTAAACAGCATGCAAGGGAGCAGAGCAAGATGAACAAGAAGATGACAGCAGCCACACTAGTCCCCATGGAAGAGATCCATTCCCAGAGTTAGGGAGGCTAGGTGAACTTTTTAATAAAAATAATAAACAAATAATCTGTGAGTGTGTGTGAGAGAATGTGTATTTGTCTGTCAGTTAATGTGTGTGTGTTTGTCAGTATTTGTCAAATCAGAGAAAGTGTGTGTCAGTGAATGTGTCTGTAAGTTTGTGTCAAATCAGTGAGTGTGCCTGTCAGTGAGTGTGTGTCTGAATGTGTATGTTTCAGTGTGTCTGTCAGTGTTTGTCAAATCAATGAGAGCGTGCCTGTCGGTGATTGTAGGTGTCTCAGTGTCCTCTGTGTGTGTCAGTTTCCTTTTCGTGTAAATGTGTGTGTCAGTGGTCCTCTGTGTGTAAATATGTGTGTTCATGTGTCAGTGTCTTTTGTGTGTGTGTATCATTGCACTCTGTTTGTGTTTGTTAGTAGCCTATATGTGTAACTGTGTGTGTCAGTGTCCTCTGTGTGTAACTATTATCTGTGTATTATATTTTCATTTTGTGACATTTTTACTTCAGATTAACCCCTTAAGGACAGCGGTCGTTCTATGCTGTCCTTTTTAGGGCGGTTATTAACGTCGGCGGACTGCATAGAACGTCCCCGCCGTCCTTTGGACTTACCGGGTCTCCGCCGTTCCCATGCCTGCGGTCGCGATACTGGGGTCTGCCTGTGAGCTCAGGCAGACCCCCTCTGCCCGATCCAGCCCCCCCTGACCATGTGATCATGGGGTCTTTGCGATCACATGGCCGGTATACCCGGCTTATGCATATATGTAGCTATATATAAATAAAAATAATAAAAACAATTTTATATATATATATATATATATATATACATATTCATATATATACATATATATTTAAATTCTACAAATATATTTATATAATATATTTACATAATCAAGTCATTTTATTAATTACAATTTGAGGGACCTGTCTGACAACCCAAGCTGAAAGTCCAGAGAATTTGTCTTGCAAGCCCTATATTTAACCTTGTAACTTTCTAGGACACCATAAAACCTGTACAAGTAGGGTACTGTTTTACTCGGGAGACGTTGCTGAACACAAATATTAGAGTTTAAAAACAGTTAAACATATCACAACGCTGATATCGTCAGTAAAAATGCAGTTTTTTACATTTTTTACACACAAACGGTACTTCCACTGACGATACAATTGTTGTGATATATTTGACTATTTTGAAACACTAATATTTGTGCTCGGTGAAGTCTCCCGAGTATAACAGTACCCCCCATGTACAGGTTTTATGGTGTTTTAAAAAGTTACTGAGTCAAATATAGGGCTTGCGTTTCCTTTTTTTTCACATTGAAATTTGCCTGATTGGTTATGTTGCTTTCGAGACTGTATGGTAGCCCTGGAATGAGAATTACCCCCATGATGGCATACAATTTGCAAAAGTAGACAACCCAGGGTATTGCAAATGGGGTATGTCCAGTCTTTTTTAGTAGCCACTTAGTCGCAAACACTGGCCAAAATTAGCGTTCAATTTAGTTTTTTGCATTTTTTACACACAAATATAAACGCTAAATTTGGCCAGAGTTTGTAACTAAGTGGCTACTAGAAAAGACGGGACATACCCCATTTGTAATACCTTGGGTTGTCTACTTTTGCAAATGGTATGCCATCATGAGGGTCATTTTCATTCCAGGGCTTCCAATAGAAATTACTTTCTTGAGACAGGGGTACTTAAAAATTTTTTTAGACCTGCAGGGGTACTTCTCCATAAAAGGTTGAGAAACACTACACTAGTAGAAATGGAAATTTTACTGGATTGATGCACCTTTGACAAGGAGCTTTGGCGGATCTGCCTTGTTTTCTAATTCATTCTGCTGGACTATATATAAACATTGCTTTTGTATATGAATGTAGCATTCATTTGTTACAGTAAGGAAATCAATATGGATATCAAGGAAGTTACTTAGGAACTCCTTGATTGATTGATTAATTGATTGATGGATTCTGCATGATGCATGTTAGCACTTTTCATGTTCAGCCCTGCAGAATGGTGGAGTGATATGTGACCAGAAAAAGACAGGTTGATCTGGCAACCTTAGTGGCAGGGCTTAGCCACATTAACTCTCCTGTCCTTGTTGGACTTCTAATGTCCTAGTTGTATTTCAAATGCCAAGTAAAAATACTATGAAATTACTTTTCCCACCAGTCACAGTGACTGACTGGTGGAATTATCTATCGCATTTATTTATTTATTACTGGTATTTATAAAGTGCCAACAGATTCTGCAGCGCTCTACAATAAGTGGAGGACTTACAATATACACAGACAAAAAAATGGTAGAGGTAGCAGAAGAAATTGAAGGTGATGGCAGAGGGAATTTATAGTGAGACTGCAGTAATTGATAACATGTGAAGGGAATGAGGATGTGATTGACTGTGGTTGGAAACAGCTGGACGAGTCATGCTATATACTTATGGAACCAGGGTGGGCAAAGCAGAGTAGAAATTAAGATTCTTAGTCACAAAGATGGAAGTTAAATCGGGTTTTTAAAGCTGCAGTTTTCAAATGAAGATTCATAGTTGCAAAGATGGATGTTAAATTGGGCCTGAGGAAGAAAAAGGGTGCACAGTTATATAAAGGAATTTACAGCTAGCAGAGGCAAGCAGAGGGAAAGGGGGGGTGGGGGTTAGGGGGAGGAGAAGTGGTGGAACAGACCAGCCATTTGTTGCACATATTAAAATATTGACCTATGGTCGGACATATATTGATAATGCTTTCCTATGGACTGGGTGAATGCGCGCGTGGCTCTTGCCACGCATGCTCATTCAGCCGATGACGGAAGAAGAGGGAGGAGAGTCCCCAACGCCGAGGGAGCCAGGCGCTGGAGAAAAGGTAAGGGATTAACCCCTTCCTCCCCCTTCAGCGCCACGGGAGTAGGACCCTGAGGGTGGGGGCACCCTCAGGGCACTATAGTGCCAGGAAAACGAGTATGTTTTCCTGGCACTATAGTGGTCCTTTAAGAGGTGTCAGCCAGCCCACAAAAAGAAATATGGGTGGCTAATGTGAATTATATGCAAATGTGTAGTCAGATGCAAGCATGCAGAACACAGCATGCTGACATCAGACAGCCAATGGCAGCATATTACCCCATCCCCTAGTGAGAAGTTTTAATGCTCCCCCTCCCTCTCCTGTTTTGACTGTGGTATCCCCCCATATATATTGTACCTAGAGTCGCCACAATGTCTGCATGTGTGTCAATGTGTATCTGTGTGTGACTGTGTTTGTGTGTATATGTATCTGCATGTGTGTTTGTCGTGTATGTGTATATGTGCAGACATCTAAAAATCTCACCAACACTACACACAAATACACTCATGCATTTCAACGTCAACACTACATACAAATCCCACCATTATATAGAACCATACCACTGCATTCAAATACCACACAAAATGCCAACACTACATACAAACACACTGCTACATTCACTCACATATACTCCATACAAAAACATGCATACATTCAAACACACAAACACTGCTTAGTGCTAAATACAGAATTTATTTTTGTTGTTTTTATATTTAAAGTTGAGGGGGGTGCCAAAAAAAGGACCCACCCCGGGTGCCAAATGCTCTAGGTACGCCCCTGTATACAGTTGTAATCAAAATTATTCAACCCACATAAAAAATTAGGTTTAGTGTTAAAATTCACAGACTTTCGGCTGTTTGCAATGAAAAAAATCTAACAAAACCAATTAAAATAGTTCAACACAACGAATGCTTCAAGTGGTTCCCCAAATTTCCACTGAATATGCAACCTATAATGACTTCTCCAGTCTCAAAACTATTCAACCCCTTCATGGCAAGCATCTTTAGAACTTAGTAGAGCACCCTTTTGCTATTATGACCTGCTGCAAACAAGATGCATAGCCAGACACCAGGTTTTGGCAGCATTCCTGAGGAATCTTAGCCCATTGCTCATGAGCAACGGCCTCCAGTTCAGTAATATTCTTGGGTATGCGTACTGCAACCGCCTTCTTCGAATCCCACCAAGGTCAGGTGACTGTGTTGACCACTTTAGAATTTTCCAGGACATCTTCTGCAACCAAGCGTTGGTGGAATTTCAGGTATGCTTGGGCTAATTGAAGCCTGGTCGTCATTGGACCTTCCAACAAGACAGCTTCCTCACAGATAGCTTGATGCTTTCTCCTAGGATTTCCTGATACTTCAGTGAATCCCTCATGCCTTCCACATGCTGCAGGTTTCCAGTGCCAGAGGATGCAAAGCAGCCCCACAGCATCACAGAGCCACCACCATGCCATTCATTCTTCTTCCTCCAGACATTCAGCTGACCCATTGGACCAAAAAGGTCTAGTTTTAGTTTCATTGCTCCACAGAACAGAATCCCAAAACTTATGTGGCTTATTTTTATTTTTTTTGAATTTGACAATTTTTATTGTACAATGCATCGATATACAGTCATGACATTTAATTTACATCATATGCAGATTCCACGATTCCACACGTCATTGGTAGGTGTTACAGACAATATGAATTCGTTTTTATTCTCCCCTATCCCTCTGGGGGTTCAGGGCTGTAGGTGGTCATGCAAGGGTGTATCGTGCATATCTGTGCTAGGTTACCTTCGGCCACCAGTGGCCTGATGCTCTGTACGTCTCATTGTCAAGCATCGTACTTTTCGGGGAAACAAGTAGGTAGGATAGAGGGTAGATGTGGAGTGGGGATGGGGAGAGAGAACTGGGGGGGGGGGTGTAAGAGACTGGTTGCGTGGTTTATGTCGGTTCTGTTTGTAATCCTTCTGATCGTAGAAAGTCATTCCACCTGTTATGTGCTAAAGTCATGTGTTTCTTTTCTCCAAATTGTCGTGCATATACCATCTCGTAGGCCCAGTTCAGTTTTATTTGGTTTATGAGAGCCTCTCGTGATGGGATTGTCGTTTGTTTCCATAGCCTAGCAATGCATGTGACTGCAGAGATAAGGATGTGGTATGTGGCTGCCCACTTATCTTTAGTAAGAGAGTCTGGTGGTATGAATAGTATGCACAGTTCCAGTGTTAGTGAGATTTGCGTTTGTATGGTGGCAGTTATGATCTTTTGTACCACCAGCCAATAGGATTTGATGATGGGGCATGTCCACCAAACGTGAGACATGGTGCCTTTACTCTGACCACATCTCCAGCAGGTGTCGGAGGACCGCGGCCACATCTGGTGGAGTCTGGATGGTACCAAATACCATCGGTATAACAGTTTGCGCTGCATCTCAATGTGAGTAGCACAAGATGTTACACCTTTGTACGAGGAGTAAGCCTTAGTCCAGTCTGTCAGTGGGATTGTGCTGCCTAATTCTCTATGCCATGATTGGATGTGTGTTTCTTTGCCCTGATCTGATGCTTGGGTCAGTGCTTTATAACTGATGGAAATTAGTTTTTTCAGTGGTTTTCTACGTGTGCATATCTGTTCGAACTCGGTCATCGGTTTTGTGGCTGCAGCAGCCGGTCCGTTAGGTTTGTTTTTAGCTAAGTAGGATTTAATTTGAAGGTATGCGAAGCCTAGCCTGTGGGGTAATTGAAATTCTTGTTGTAGGTCTGGAAATAGTTTTAGCCCTTTGTCGTTGTATAGCTGCCCTATTTCTTGGATGCCCATCTGTAGCCATGGTTGTGTGTTCAGGTTCGGTATTACATGTGCTAGGGTGCTGGTTGGGGCTGCCAAAGGTAGTGGGTGGTATCGCGTCATTAGGTGCTTCTTAGAGTCCCAAACATGTAGGGTGTATTGAGTCGTGGGTAAAAGGTGGCTAGTGTCCGTCCTATGTGATTTAGGTGTCCATAGAATGGAATGTAGTGTCATTGGGTGGGCCCAGCTGTTTTCTATTTCCAGCCACTGTGGGGCTGTGGGATGTTGTCGAAATTGTGGCACCAGCATCAATGTTGCCGCTTTGCAATATGCTTTTAGGTCTGGGAAGCCTAGTCCGCCCTGATTTATTGACCTTTGTAGTAGATTGGTCGCTACTCTGGGTTTTTTATTTTGCCATGTGAAGTGTGTTAGCATTTTCGTGAGTGCTTTGATGTACTTATCTGGTACTGGAATTTGTAGTGTTCTGTATAGGTATTGGAGTTTGGGTAGTAGTGACATTTTTATGGCCGCGATCCGCCCCACCCAGGACAAGTATTTCCCCTCCCAGGAGCTCAGCAGGGACTTAAAAGTTTCTAACAATGGTTGGTAGTTCGTCTTGAAGAGAGACATGGGGTTTTTGGTCATTTTAGTTCCCAAGAAGGTGAGGTGATCCTCTCTCCAGTCTAGAGGGAACGAGCTCTTAAGGTTCACCAGTTGTGTTGCGGGGAGATTGATACTTAGTGCCTGTGTCTTAGTGACGTTCAGCTTATAATATGACACTCGTCCGTATTCCGTGATGTGGTGCATGAGATTAGGTAGGGATATGTGTGGTTGCGTGAGAGTGAGGAATATGTCGTCAGCGAATAGGCTTAATTTGTATTCTTTCTGACGTAGGGTTACCCCGTGGATTGCCGATTCCATCCTGATCTTGGCAGCCAGAGGCTCCAATGCCAGGACATAGAGCAGCGGGGAAAGTGGACAACCCTGGCGGGAGCCATTAGAGATTCTGAATTTGTCCGAGCAGAATCCTGCGTTTAGGACTTTAGCCATGGGGCAGCTATATAGAGCCTCTACTGTGTCTGTGAATTGGGAGGGAAAGTCATATTTCATCAGTACCGCCTTCAGGAAGCGCCAATTTAATCGATCGAAGGCTTTCTCCGCATCTAAAGACATTAGTAGGCTACCTGTCCCCTTCCGTCTGATGCTGTGTATTAGGTCAAAAACCTTCCGGGTGTTGTCTGTTCCCTGCCTCCCTGCTACAAATCCCACTTGGTCGTTGTGAATGAGGGTTGGGAGAAGTGGGCCCAATCGCCGGGCATATATTTTGGCGTATAGTTTGGCGTCTGTATTGAGGAGGGCAGTGTGTTGGGGTCTGAAGTTTGGGCAGTGTGTTGGGGGCTTCCCTGGTTTTGGTAGGGTGACGATATGGGCAAGCAGTAGCTCTTCTGGTAGTGATTTGGTTTGGGTAGCGGAGTTAAAGAGAGATGCCAAGTGTGGGGCTAAAGCGGTCGCGAATCTTTTGTAGTACCTGTTTGTGAAGCCATCCGGGCCTGGCGCTTTATTTTTAGGTAAGGTTTGTATTGCATCCTTCACTTCGTCTGGAGTGATTAATTTTTGCAAAGAAGTAATTTGCTCTTTCGTTAGCGTGGGTAGGGGGACATCCTGTAGGTAGGATTGTATGTTATGTTCTGTCGGGTCAGGTGCTCGCTCGGACTGAGCCAAGTTGTAGAGTTTATTATAGTAGTTAGCAAAAGCATTGCTAATATCTATGGGGGAGATCACTTTTGTGTTGTCATGTGTGTACAGGTGTGATATTTTCGCGTTCGTTTCTGCTCGCTTTAAGCGGGCTGCCAACACTTTGCTTGCTCTATTTCCCTGGGCATAGTATGTTGCTTTGAGTCTGCGTAAGTTAAAGCCTACTCGCTGCAGCGTGTGTAGTCTAATTTTGTCTGCTACTTCCGCGATGCTTTTCCGTATTGCCTCTGTGGGATGCGTTTTGTTTTTGTTTGTGAGGTCTATTAACTGTTTGTTCCAATTTATCCATTGGGTCTGGTTACTTTGTTTCAAAGATGCTGCTCGCTTTAGCAAGATTCCTCTAACTACTGCCTTGTGTGCCTGCCATAGGGTGCATGCAGATGTGTCTCCTGTGCCGTTGAGCGTGAAGTATTCTGTTATGGCTTCTTCTAATTGGTTGGAAAAGGGTATGTCTGTCAGTAGTGATTCGTTGAGTCTCCAGGGGCTCTTATGTTTGTAGTCGTAGTTGTCTTTAAGGGTCAGTGTTAGTGGGGCATGGTCCGACCATGTGATTTGGCCAATAGAGCATTCTAGAACCTGGTCCAGGTGTGTGCTTTCCATATGGACTCTATCTATTCTGGTGTACGTATTGTGTGTGTTTGAGTGATACGTGTAATCCTTTTCTTGAGGGTGTAGGACTCGCCATACGTCATATAATTTATTGATATCTAATAATTTAAGGTATGATGCACAAGTCCTGCGATGTTTCGCGTGTACCTCTCTGCCTGCATGGGACGTTGTGTCGTTGGTGGGATCTATGATGTGGTTAAAGTCCCCACACAATACCAGTATACCCTCCTGTACTGGTCGCAATATGGATAAGATTCTGTGTAGGAAGTCTCTTTGATTCGTGTTCGGGGCATATACATTTGCTAGGGTGTATTTAGTGTTGTTGATTGTGCATACTATTATCGTGTATCTTCCTTCCTTGTCTGTCTGTGAGTAGTGGTGCTGGAAGGATACTGTGTTACTAATTAGTATTGATGTCCCTTTCGTTTTTGTCCCTGCCGTAGCGTGGTATTGGTGTGGGTACAAGGATGGTTTTAGGGTCGGTGGCGTTTTGAAGTGTGTTTCCTGGAGGCAGATTATGTCAGGCTGATCTCTCTTGAGATCTTGAAGGAGGCAATGTTGCTTATATGGGGTATTTAACCCTCTAACATTATAGCTTTGTATTTTCATACTATAGGTCAGTGTCGTGAAGCGCTAGGATTCGTTTATGTGTTCTACGTATGGGGTAGGCTGAGCTTGTGGCTGATAGTGCTTTGGATTTGTTCCCACAATGCTGGGCAGTGGTGTGGGCCTGAGTTGTGTGTTTAGTGGTGGTGATGGCGATTTGCGCCTGGCTTTTGGTGGGCCCAGGGGTTGCCAGTTTGTGCAGGTGGACGTCACCTTCTTGTTCGATGGGTGCATCTGTCTCTTGGAGTAGTATCGAGGGGGGAGAGGGGGGAAAGGGTGTAGGGGGGTCATACTGTGAGGGTATGAACTTGGGGGGGGGTAAAAACTATAGCCCTTTGGCGGGCTTTGGTTCCGGCTAGCGGTTCCATGAGAGCGTGGCTGGTGTGAAGAAAAGAACAGTAGGAAGATTGGCCTGTGTCAGTCCGTTGTGACCGGCGGTTGGTCAGTGGGGTGCCTCTTTGCGGCTGTCAGCTTTGCGGTAGGGTACAGTAACCTGGGGCTGCGGTTGTCACTTGGGTTCAAGCTGCATGCGTCAACATTGGGGTTTTTTTTTTTTTTGTATTGTGTTAAGTTTCAGTTTGGGGCTTTTGCCGACGGGGAGGGGGGGGAGGTCGGGGGGGGGGGCATAGGTTGGCGGTACATGACTGTGGTTGCTACCTGGCGTGACGCATTGGCTCGGTCGCCTGAGGTGTGTGGGAGGTCGGGAGGGTCACGCTATGGTCTAGTTGTGGCGGGGCGGTTCAATGGGCGCCTCTTCTATCCCCCGGTGGAGTTACTTCTCCTTGGGGGCCTCGTGGAGGGGAGGGCATTGTATGTTTCGGGGCTATCCCATTGGCCTATACGCTTGATTTGCAACTGTCCCCCACATATTATGCAAACATCCAAACCAAACATATTGCAATACATAAGAGGCACCATTATCGTCTCCCCTGGTACAATCCCGCTCCCCCCGGGCCCTGAACGGGCTGACCCATTCACCTATACGCTGAATTGGCAACTATGCCTCATACATTATTCAATGCCCGAAACAATCACATTGTGACATTTGGAACATAATTACCATTCTCCGTGATGCCTCCCCGCTCCCCCCGCTCCCCCCCGCTATGAATGGGGCTGTCCTATTCTCATGTGAGCTAGACTTACAACTGTGCCCCACAAATTGTTCAGATATTCAAGGCGTGTACACTGCATTAAATCATAGTCACAATTACCCTTCCCCATGATGCCCTCCCGCTGCCCCAGCTCCCCCGAGCGTGGCGGCTTCCCTTGAGCTGTGTTGCGTCATCCTCTGGGGGGTCCCCTGCAGCCTTCTGGTGTCTGCTTCCAAAGATGCTGAGGCTGTTTGCCTCCCCGCAGGCTGCAGCTGTGAGTGTGCTTCTGCCTGAGCCTACGGCTCTGAAAGTTCCCGTGGCAGCGTAGTGTGTCATTTTGTGCCGCGTTATTGTCCCTGAGATTGGCACGTGTTGTGTGTTGTTAGCCCCCAGTGTGCATGCAGTGTGTGTGTTGCGAGTGAATGTGTTTTGTTGACGTGTGGGGCGCTGCCAGTGTTGCAAGGGCAGCATGGGGAGTTATAGTGCCATAGTCACCTGCTTGAAATCAATAGTCCTTCTTCGTGGCCTTTGAACAGTCCCGCTTCTGTTGGTTGTGGTTATTGGAGGTAGCGTATGGCATCTCACGCCATCTTTGCTGCTGAATGTGTTGCAAGTGTGTGCTCTTCCGTCAGGACCGCAGGGCTTTAGTTACGTACTCTTTTCCAGTCGGCTGTAAGCTTACTCGGTTGTGGGTCGTTGCCGCTTCTTGCTTGGTTCTGGGGTTGTATACCCCATTTCTGCAGTGTTTTCCGTCCATCCGCCAGAGAGGTGATAACGTGCATAGCTCCATTTTTATGTATGAGGAGACGGACTGGGTGGCCCCAGCGGTAGGGCACCTCATGGGAACGGAGGGCATCAGTTATTTCTTTATACTCCTTCCTTTTTTTCAAGGTCTGGGCAGAGAGATCTGCATATAGTTGAATGGTGTTGTATTGGGCTGGAAGGTCTTTGCGGAGCCTGGACGCTCTCATCAGTGCTTCTTTCGCATGATAATAGTGGAGGTGCGTCAGTACATCCCTTGGCGCTTCAGCTGGGAGGAAGCTTGGTTTAGTGACTCTGCGCGCCCTGTCCAAGAGCAAGACATCTGCTGGGAGGTCTGGGGCTAATGTTTTGAAGTAAGCCGTGAGGTATGCCGCTATTTCGGGCTGCTTCACCGTCTCAGGGATCCCCCTGATCCGTATATTCTGTCTCCTTGACTTATCTTCTAGGTCCATGATTTTATATTGGCAGGACTCCAGCGCCTGTTCCAGGTTGTGGACATGGTCTGCCATGTCATTGTGTGCGTCTGCATACTCGCCCATGCGGTTCTCCATGCAGGCTGTTCTGTCACCCAGCTCCTGCACGTCCTTTCTTAGGTCTGAGATGGACTTGTTGAGGCTGTGTAGCAGTTTGTCAGACATTTCTCCTAGGCAAGCCTGGAGTATGTTCTGTGTGACCGGCAAATCTCTGCCCCCAGGGGATTCCTGCAGCGGCAGCGTGTCGTCGCCATCTTGGCTGTACTCTCCTGTGCCTTGGGCCTTAGGTGGCGGATTGCGGGCGGAAAAAAAAACATTTTTATCAGCTTTGTCGGGGATCTTCTTCCCTTTGGGTTGTGCCATGCTTGAGGCTTGGTTTGGAGGTTAGTGCTGGTCACTGTCGCTGGTAATGTCGCTGTTTAGGCCAAAACAGAACGGAGCTCGCCTCACATGCGTCCGTTCGCGCCGAGCGTTAAGCCACGCCCCTGGCTTATTTATAAGATACTGAAACTGACTTTTCTTGTGCTTTTAAATCAGTACTAGTGTACGTCTTGGAGTTCTGGCATGGAAACCTTCTGTGTTTAGTATGCGTCTTTCTGTGCTCACTGAAACCTCAGTTCCTGTTGCCACCAAGCCTTGCTGCAGGTCTTTTGCATTAACTTGAGAGGTTTTCACCTGCCTTCTTAGAAAACTGGTTGGAGCCATTGATAGCTTCCCTTTTCTGCCCCGTCCAGGTAGTGTAACCACTGTAAACTATATTTCCAACGGTGTCTCTAGGAACATTGAGTGCCTTCGCTATCTTTTTGTATCCTGTTCCTTGTTTGTGAAGGGCAATTATCTCTTCTCTTAACTTTGTGGACCATTCTTTTGACTGAGCCATATTTCTAACATACAGTCAAACATGACACTCAACAAATCCATAGCCAGTTCAGGTATTTCCAGTGTTCAAAGCTCAAGCACACCTGGTATAACTAATGAAGCCCTTGATTAGTTGCATCAGGTGTGCTTGAGACAACACCTGCTTTGCATATTTATACTGTTGTGAGGGATTTTTTTTTTTTTGACATTCTTTATTTATTATTTTATCTATTTTTTCAATGTGGAAAGATAATACAATTACAACCTTAGAAAAAGGCCAATAACATAGGACCAGGAGAATCATTGTTATAAAAAAATACAGCGAGTTGAGAGTATCTAAACAGAGAAACACAGCCAAAACCGTAACCATAATTACCCTCCCTAGCAACAAAAATGGCCAGCCTCCTAATACCCCTTCGGGAGTCACGTGGGGCATGCGAAGAGTGGGACATGGTAAGCGCATCTATCCCGTAGACATCGTTGAGCTGTGAAACGTATCCACCCCGTTTGTCTACCGCTGCGTCCCCATGGGCCAATTGGTGTTGTGAGGGATTTTATTCAGGGGGTTGAATCATTTTGAGACTGGAGAAATAAGTTGAATTTTTAGTAGAATTTGAGCAATTATCATGAGCAATGGGCTAAGTTTTCAACAGCTGAAGGTCTGTACATTGACAATAAACCTGATTTTTTAACATTTTATTGTTTTTATATAGTAATAAATAAAATAGATTTTTTTTATCCTGCTTCTGGACCTCCATCCATTTGTGATCATACTTCATCCTCAATATTTGTGGTGGGGAATATCCATCTAAGACTTATGGATTGAGCAATACCATATTCAAAGTTTTTAGACAATAGAAATCCAGCTTTTACATTATGTTTTTAATATATACCTGCAATAAAAATACACTAATAAACCCATGCATGTGTTCATTGGGGGTATATCTACTAAACATTGTTATATATAAATATTTTTTAATTTGGACAGTGCAGTGTCCCTTTAAGTGTAACAGTAAAGTAGATAAAACTCCACAATGGACAAAGCTCATGCAAGGTTTCTGTTACCAATTAAATTTACTCATAATCCATTAGAAAAATCAATCCACAGAAAGGCAGAGATCAGATATCTTGGGCAGAGGAGAACACAATGGCTGCATTCAGATATTGAGATCTGACACATTGAAGAAAGTTTAATATACCGTATATAAATACAAAGTGGCAAGGGGGAGCAAGATACAGTGTGCATAATTAAAGGAAAAGCATATTGTGTTGAGTAAAACAAGCATGCAATCTTTGCCAGCAAAACTGCTTCACGGTTCTAAACAGCAAATGGTATCAGGGTTTCTGTTTGTCTGCTTTGCATTTCTGCCCTGTGTTCTGTGTATTTTGCATGATATTAGTATGTTTGAAACGTATCCCCGAATGTTCTCCCAGTTTTCCTACAATGAGTTCTTCAATACCTTCCCTGAAATGCGATTACTTACCACCAGAAGGTTATTATGAGTTGTGAGATTTAGGTCAGTACAGAAACATTAAACAACAGATGGTTTTGTTTTTCTTCGTTTTGGCCATTTTTCGCCTACATTTTGCTACTTGGTCATAAATACAACAAACATGCAGGCTGTTGAATAAACCACTAAAGTTCTAGTAACAGATTTCTAAGCTCTAGTAATAGGTTTCTCAGCTGAGTGCACCACACATCAGCTTGTGTCATATGTTGTTTAATATTATTATTATTATCGCCATTTATATAGCGCCAACAGATTCCGTAGCGCTTTACAGTATTATGAGAGGGGGGATTTAACTATAAATAGGACAATTACAAGAAAACTTACAGGAACAATAGGTTGAAGAGGACCCTACACAAACGAGCTTACAGTCTATAGGGAGGTGGGGTATAAAACACATTAGGACAGGAAATAGCAATCAAATAAGGTGGGAGTGAAGCAGAGCTGGAGGAGAGAGTAGAGTGCTGCCCTTTAGGGAGAGAGCAAGACAGGTTGGTGAGGTAGAGGTTAGTCTGGGAGGCCTACTAAAAAATGGGTTTTATGGCACTTATTAAATGATGTGTGAGAAAGCAAGAGCATGTTTAGCAACATTCAGCGAGTGGTGTTAGTGGCAATGGTGGCACAATGCAAGAGGCGAGGTGGCTTGCTTGAATGTGTATAAAACCAACAAGACCACATACCTATAATTATTTATAAAAAATATTGTCATTTTATTTATACTTTTATTATTTTTATTTTTATTTTTTTGTATTATTTTAGTATTATTTGGAGGGCACCAGCATATTCTGCAGTGTTGTAAAGTGCAAGAATATCTATCCATTAGTACATATCCAAATGATGTCATTTCTAATAGCTAGAATTAAAACTCTTCAATCATTCAGGCCTTCTGTGATGCATTCTGGGAACATGTGCTGTGCATTGTGAGTGAGCATGTATTCACATATCCATCCCATTCCACACTATAGCTTTAGTTTAAAGTGCAATGACTATGCAGGCTCCGATTTCATATAAAATTACAATTTCTTTTTAATAACATTGACCCATAATGTTAAATGATTCCATACAGTGTTACCTGTCTAGACTACCGTACCACATAAATATACAAAACTATATGTATCTGGATCACTAAAACTTAATACTAAAAATATTAAAACTTTCAATTGGCTTTAAAGGATTTTATACATTTGCTAGAAATTCTGCTAGTAAAATATATAGATGCAATTGTATAGTCTGTTATTTAAACAAGAGTTCTGTTTCCCGACATATACATTTTCTGTTATACATCTTTGCAATTGTGCAAGTCTTGCACGTGAAAATTAAGTTTTGTCTTTTTAATAATTGAACACATTCTACTTTCAAAGACTGATAAGTTTTAAAACACATTGGGAGATTTATCATGGTAAAACAGGTGTTAGCTTGGGTCAGGGCCGGACTGGGGATTCCAAAGCAGCCCTGGAAAAAAAATCTATGCCAGCCCCATAAGTCATTGCGCCATATATTGTCGCATGTAATATGTAAGGCTATGTCTTGCCACCCTAGATGATTGAGATATATATATATCTTTTTTTTCCAATATAAAATATTGGTTCTTTCAGAGTAAAATCTTTAATTATACAGTAAGCATACTCACATGCAGACACAGACAATCTCACTGACACAAGCTGATTGATACACAGCCTCATAGACAAACAATCTCACTGATATACATAAGGTCATTAAAATAAAAACACAAGCTCACTCAGTAGCAGGCACACACACACACACACACACACACAAGCAAGCCCACTCACTAGCAGGCACGCACACACACACACAGCTTAATGTAGTGGCTCTGGTGTCTACAGCCTGTCCCTTCAGGCTTTTCAATGTAAACACTGACTTTTTATAGAAAAGGCAGTGTTTACATTGCTTCCTATTGACAGACACTCAGACGGTCACTAGAGGTGCTTCCTGTGTCAGTGCGGATTGGCTGAGATCATCAAGCTTGATGATCTCAGCCGTAGAGGCAGGGCCAGTTGAGGGGAGACCAGCACGACGTGGGGGAAAAAAAAAAAAGTGAGTAAAAACACACATACACACACACATACCATGACAGACACACACCGTGACACAGACACAGACAGAAACACAGACACACCATGACAGACAGACACACCATGACACAGACAGACACACACACACACCATGACAGAGACACACACATACCATGACAGACACACACCGTGACACAGACAGAAACACAGACACACCATGACAGACAGACACACACACACCATGACAGAGACACACACACACCATGACAGACACACCTTAAAAAAGACACACACAACTTGACACAACACACCATAACACAGACCGTGACACAGACACACATGACACAGACAGACACACCATGACACACAGACACACACCATGACACAGACAGACCGTGACACAGACAGACGCACACACCATGACAGTCAGAGACACACACACCATGACACAGACACACATTGCATGACACAGACAGACACACACACACCATGACACAGATGCACACACCATGACAGACAGAGACACACAGACACACACCATGACACAGGCGTACACACCATGACAGACAGAGACACACAGACACACACAATGACACAGACAGACACACACCATGATACAGACACACACACACACCATGATACAGACACACACACACACATACACTCACACTGACACACATAATGTCTACCTGGGGCTGTGGGGAGCTCCCTTGGCGGCCGCAGGGGGAGCTGGCTGTTCTGCCTCTGCTCCCCCTCCCCAGCGCACTGCTTACTGAGACCGGGGCCGGAGTATGACGTCATATTCCGGCCCCGGTCTCTTTCTAGCGCGCTGGGGAGGGGGACCAGAGGCAGAACAGCCAGCTCCCCCTGCGGCCGCCAAGGGAGCTCCCTCTGCGGCCGCAGGTGAGCCGGCTGTCTGCCCGGCCCCAGGTGCCGACGGCCCACCGGGAAATTTCCCGGTATCCCGGTGGGCCAGTCCGGCCCTGGCTTGGGTGCACATTATTAAATGTTGAGATACATTCTACTGATTTCCATGGGGATTGCTGCTTTTTATTGGTCTTTACCCCAGAACAGTAGCAATTTTTGATAAGGCTTGCACAAAGTATAGGGTAAGCAGTTCAATTTATAGAGTAAACTGGTGACACCTAGAGACCAAACTTGTAAATACAGCGCAAATAGGTAAGATACACAGTGCAAGTACAAACATAATGGCTTGCATAATATTTTTCCCAGTTACTCCATGATGGTGATAGACCACATTGGTGCTTCAGTGCTCTGAATCCTTACAGTGTTTTGAGGTATCCAAAATCAACAAATGTATGCATAGATATAACAGAAGTACACAATGGCATAATACGCTGTATTTATGTTATAATTGCTGGCCTACCAAAAGGTTCACAAGCCAGACTAGGCCAGTTATTGATTAAATATTGTCTGGCCCCTGGTGCCATGTTTTTGAATGTGAGGCAGCTATAGAACATTAAAGGAACACGTCAAGCACCATAACCACTGCAACAGAGTGTAGTGGTTATAGTGGCAGAAGTGTCCTGACTGGCGCCCTCTTATGTAGGTAGTTCAAACCATTCAGTAACATTTTCACTTCTTACCAGTGTTCCTGGGCTTCGGAACCTTGAGAGGTCTTACACCTGTCGCTTAGAGGCCAAACATGCTCAATAAAAATATTAGCTTTTTGATAACACATAGTTTACTCTTACTTTTGCGTTTTCATTTCTTAAATTGTTGGTCCCTCACAGGGGCATTTTGTCTGACCATTGTGGGATGGCCCTATGATGGCCATTTATGTTTAATACTTTGGCTGGTGTGGCCATTATGACAGTCACTGCTGCAGGTCCTTGTTTAACCTAACTATTAATTGCTAGGAATATTTTCATTTATGTAATTGCCTTCACTTTTCATTTAGTCATTCGACCCACATGCTACCTGTACCCCTCACTACACAGGTCCTGTCATTGCGGTACTTATCTACCTGACCATACTCCACTAGGGGAGCCCAAAGCTATCCCCGGTCATTAGTACCTCTCCATATCATATCATATTTCCTGTGCCACAAGCTACTTGTTTTGTTACTATAGCTATGATGTCATAGCTATAGTAATTTATGACACTATGATGTCCTAGCTATAGTAATGTATGACACTATGATGTCATAGCTATAGTAATGTATGACACTATGATGTCATAGCTATAGTAATGTATGACACTATGATGTCACAGCTATAGTAATGTATGACACTATGATGTCATAGCTATAGTAATGTATGACACTATGATGCCATGTATGACTATGGTAAAGGTTCCTTTCGTTTGATTTTAATTTAGTGTAAGATTTGAACAACTGCTAATTGCTTGCTTCTCTACTATTCCCAGAAAAGGAAGTTCTGCGTGAGCAGTACGCACTCAAGAGGGTTTAAATACAGACATCTATTCCTATATGTATTTGCATATGTATATGATCATACATTGCATAAGCCTGCCACAACGTCAATGTACCCCAAACTTGGCAGGTCCTACTTTTGTCAGGCTTATGCAATGTATGATAATTAGTGATGTCCCGAACGGTTCGCGAACGGTTCGCCGCGGACTCATCATTGAGTAAACTTTGACCCTGTACCTCACAGTCAGCAGACACATTCCAGCCAATCAGCAGCAGAACCTCCCTCCCAGACCCTCCCACCTCCTGGACAGCATCCATTGTGAAGCTGCATTCTTAGTGAGCTGTCCAGGAGGTGGGAAGGGTCTGGGAGGGAGGGTCTGCTGCTGATTGGCTGGAATGTGTCTGCTGACTGTGAGGTACAGGGTCAAAGTTTACTCAATGATGAGTATAATGTAACTAAACCCCCATTATTTTTCGCCTAGGTGATTACAATCTGTGGGACCTCAAATCGCTGTTTAGTGAATGAGCGAGTGCGCTGGATTGTGCATTTTGTATGTTGCATAAATTGGCCCTAGCAGCACCCTATAATGTATGCATGTTCAGGTGAGTGCAGCCCTAGCCCTCCTTGGTTTCATTTATATATATATATATATATATAATAAAATAAAAAAAAATATAAAAAATTTTAAAAAATCACAACTGGGGACCCATAAAAAAAAAAAAAAAAGAAACATCATAATCGTAGATTTAGCTGAAGTGAAGTCTGCCGAAGCTGACATTCCATTATTTCAAGAAACCCATTTCACTTGGGACCAACAGCCACAAATCCCCTCACAATTGTATTTAGTTGCATACTGTGATGAAGTGCCCTTCGCCACTTGTGCCTGGAGAGGACTAGTTGCCAGCCTCCTGCCCCGCGACCATGGCCCCTCGAAGATTTTACCCTTTAAATACGTTATTTGGGCATTTGGATTTTATTAGACTGGTTCTGGCCCTTTAAATGCTCTGACAAAGGATCTGCAGTTTTGCTATGCACTTCAGATGCAGAGTGTGAAGAAAACCCCTGTTTTATGGACTTAGTTTGACTGTTTTGTTCTCCCCCCTCTTAGAACACCAGTTTAAACCCTTAATAACTGTCATATTTTAAAACACTGTCTGACCCTTTTAACTGTCAGTTTGTTTTCCTCTGAAGAGGAGTTGTTTTGCTGCATGAGTGCTGTTGCTTTTGTGTGCTCATTAAACAGACCTGCTTGACCCTTTCTTGAAGCCTTGGCTCATGCTTGGGGGATGGGATAAGTCTGCAGTGCTGATGGTGTTGGTTGGAGTGCTTGGAGTCCTCGGCAAGCACTAGGAGCATCGATTGGCGGAGGTACTCGGTCGGAGTGCCAGCGGGTCCGTCACACATACCATTCCTGCTATAAAATGAAGAAGAGGGATTGTACCAATAGTGATAATCTGATCACTTACATGTGCCCTACACAATAAATTCTACAATAGAAATGCATGATATCTAATTTTTCAGTGCACAAATAGTTAATTATTTCCACATTTACCCTGGACATGCATATTAACACAGTATGAATAGCCCACAAGGTTTTTGTTAGAGGGGTCTTTCTATAACACGCCTCCAATCTCAAGAAAACTAAACTTAAGGAGTACCAACTCATTACAGATCAGTTATGACGACTCAATGTTCAGAACCAAAACCCTCTCCTTCCTTTCTGGCAGAAAGCACCTCTAAAATTTCTTATTCACTAGAGCACAAAGGACAGACACATTTTAACCCTACTCGCATAACCTCTGCCTTTGCTTTATTGTTCTCTAAACTAAATAAACTTAAGGATGATATTAACATCCTCACAACATCTACAACATCTGAACTTTCCTGGCGTCCATTACGGAACAAGAGGTATCAGATATCATCTCTTCACTGCCACAAAGAAAAGCACCAGGTCCAGATGGTTTACCAGGGGACTGCTATAAAAAGTTTGCTAATATGCTGGTACCCACTGGCATACATATCACTGTCACAGGGATCGCAGCTGCGACTGGGCCCCTCACTCTAGGGGGGCCCGGCCGCAGCCGCGACCCCTGCATCCCGTGGGCTGTCTGGATACCTTATGTACAGTCGCACCGACCCAGGTCCACGGTTCCCGCATGTCTGGCAGGAAGGGAGAGCTGCACTGTGCTGCTCCCCTCCTGCCTGTGTGTAGCGTGGCCGAGTGGTCTGACAAGAAAGGCTCACTGTTAGAGCACTTCCTGTTAGACCAGGACCCGTGACCAGTAAGGTACAGGAAGAGAGACATGGTATGGGATACAGGGAGGGGAGGGGGAAACAATGAAGGTTATGGGACACCTGGAGGGGAGGGAGGACAAATGGAGGGTATGGGACACCTTGGTGGGGGGGGTAGAAATGGAGGGTGTGGGACACCTGGAGAGGAGGGGGGAGAGAGGGAGCAATGGGACACATGGAGGGGAGAGAGGGAGGGTATGGGACACAGGGAGGGGTGGTGGGAGAGATATAGGAATGAGACACAAGGAAGGAAGAGGGGAGAGATGAAGGTTATGGGACACAGGGAGGGGAGGGGGGGGAGAGGGAGGGTACGGGACACATGGAAGAGAGGGGAGGAGGGAGAGAGTGTATGGGATACATGGAAGGGAGGGGGAGAGAGGACAGAATGGGACACGTGGAGGGGAGAGATGGAGGGTATGGGACACAGGGAGGGGAAAAGGGAGAAATGGGACACATGGAGGGGCTGGGAGGGAGGAGATGAGAAACATGGAGGGGCTAAGGGGAGAGGGAATATGACACATGAAGGGACTGGAGGAGGAGGAGCCTATGGGACACATAGAGGGGCTGAGGGGGTAGATGGAATGGGACACATGAAGGGGCCTCATTCCCTCTGTCCCACAGACCCTCCATGTGTCCCATTCCATCTACCACCTCAGCCCCTCCATGTGTCCCATTCCATCTACCCCCTCAGCCCCTCCATGTGTCCCAGGTGGGTACTATATATGGGGCACATGGAGGGGCTGAGGGGGTAGATGAAATGGAACACACGGAGGGGCTGTGGGGCAGAGGGAATGAGGCACATGGGAGGCTTGTGCGTGGGAATGAGACACCGGGGGGGGGCCCAGGGTAATTTTCGTTCTAGTTACGCCTCTGCTGGGACCGTACATGGTGAGAGTATTTGCCACAGGGGTGGAGTCCAGTTTGTTGCCCTCTGAGATGCTAGCAGCTCATGATATCACTGTACCTAAGATTGGCAACAGCCAGCCTCACTGCTTTAGACCTATCTTTCTGTTAAACCATGATATCAAGATATATGCTAAGTTATTCAACACCAAACTGTCAGGTATTGTTCTTCATTTACATATATCCAGGGCCGGCCTTAGGGGTGTGAAGCAGCCATGAAGCAGGAGGCGCCGTGCGGCCGACACAGCTCACACATGGCCTGCCGGGATTTAAAAATAAAATAAATAAATACATTTGCGGCGGGGCTTACCGTGGGGCGGAGCTAAAAGTGCCAGGTAACTGCAGCATGGGAAGCAGGAAGGAGTCCCTGCTTCCCCCAACAACCAGAATCCAGGAGCTGCACTGCCTGTCTGCCTCCACAAGGAACAAAGGTAACTATGTGTGATTGTCTGCCTCTGTGTGTGTGACTGTCTGTGTGTTTGACTGTCTGCCTGCGTGTGTGTGGCTGTCTGCCTGTGTGTGTGACTGTCTGCCCTTTTTTGTGTGTGGCTGTGTAACTGTATGTTTGACTGTCTGCCTGTGTGTGTGACTGTCTGTGTGTATGACTGTGTCTGTGTGTATGACTATCTGCCTGTGTGTGAGACTATCTGCCTGTGTGTGTGTGACTGTCTGCCTGTGTGTGTGCCTGCCTGTGTGTGTGACCGCCTATATGTGTGTGTGTGACTGCCTACGTGTGACTGTCTGGGCAGACTAGATGGGCCCAATGGTTCTTATCTGCCGTCACATTGTATGTTTCTATGTCTGCCTGTGTGTGTGTGTGTGTGTGTGTGGCTGTCTGCATGTGTGTTTGTGTGTGGCTGTCTGCCTGTGTGTTTGTGTGTGGCTGTCTGGCTGTCTGTGTGTGGCTGTCTGCCTCTGTGTTGCTGTCTGCCTGTGTGTGGCTCTCTGCCTGTGTGTGGCTCTCTGCGTGTGTGTGTGTTTGTGTGTGGCTGTCTGTGTGTGACTGCCTATGTGTGACTGTCTGGGCAGGCTAGATGGGCCGAATGGTTCTCATCTGCTGTCACATTCTATGTTTCTATGTCTGTGTGTGCGTGTGGCTGTCTGCGTGTGTGTGTGTGGCAGGGTGTGTGGGAAGGGGGGGGCGCTGTGAAGATTTTTCGCACAGGGCTCCCAAAGACCTAAGGCCGGCCCTGCATATATCATATATCTCTGTGTATTTCAATAGTCTCTTCCTTCATATTCTTGCTGTCTCACATTATTATTATCATGATATTTATAGAGCGCCGTCAAATTCCGCAGCGCTTTACAATGGGTGGACGAACAGACATGTAGTTGTAACCAGACAAGTTGAACACACAGGAACAGAGGGGTTGAGGGCCCTGCTCAATGTGCTTACATGCTAGAGGGAGTGGGGTAAAATGACACAAAAAGGTAAGGATAGTATTAGACTAATGACAGTTGCAGAAGAGGAATCAGTCAGGAGCTATTAACAGTATAAGTGATACGCTTTTATAAAGAAGTGGGTTTTTAACGATTTTTTTGAAGGAATGGAGACTGGGTGAGCATCTAACGGAGGAGGGAAGCGAGTTCCACATCTATGTATCTCACATCTATGTAATGCCAGGGCTTAAAAATCACCCCATCTTTGATGCAAGTGGTGGATGCAATTGATGATGGCAGAGTATGAAACACAATGTCCTTGTATATAACTTGCTCAAGTTTCCCCAGTCAATCCAATGCGATATATGGCAGGATTATGTCTCTTCTTGTATGGTTACCTATGGTGCTCTGCCCTCCTAGCAGTACCCTAGGTGGTAGGAGGTGGTGGCAACTCACTGCTACACAGTATTATGTTTGGGTGCTTTGTCGAACTATTGGATGCTTCATTAGTGTGCACTTATTAGGTGCTGCATGTTATTGTGCCACTCTCGCTCGCAAACACGGTTAGTTTAGTTTTTATGTTTTTTTTTTTACATTTATTTTCTTATTGGATACTATGTGCTATTATGTCATGAAGTTCTATATAGACAGGTGGGTACTATATACCGGCACTCTGCAATGTTAGCTAACTAGCAATTCTCTATGTATTGCCCTAGAAGCATTGCCTTACTTTTTTTCTCCAGGAGAAATATTTACAATTGAGTGCAGTGTCATTTTTGTGTTTGTTTTAATCACTTAGGGGTTTATATATTCTTTTGTATTTTAAAACCAATATAATATCAGTTAAAAAAAAAAAAAAACGGGACTGAATTTAGATATCACTGTTAAAAGGCAATTAATTGTAAAAGGAAAATATGCTATTTTCTTTCCGTCTCTGTCTCTCTGTTAATAAATAACTTTGCTGAGTTTGCAAATAAGCAGTTAGGTAGGTCACCTTATAGGAAGGAACACCACTTCCTGGAAATAGTATTTATCCTCAATATCTAACTTAACTTCAATAACAAACATGTCAGAAGTCAAAGTTCATGATCCCAGAAAAATTCAATGGCTTAAGGATTTAATACTTGCATGCTTTTATATACACAGCTCCAAAGCCCTACACAGGAGTACGGTAAACAGGAGCTTCTTGCTCTCCTGGTGGTGACAAGGGGACAGGGGACCACAGGTAATTTATCAAACTGTTTGAATCTGGTTTGACTACTTACTCTTGGAGAGCATCAAGGCAGTTTTTGCACTATAATCATTACAGTGCACTGTAGTAGTTATGGTGTTTAGTGTGTTACTTTAATCCGGGGGTCAACAACCATTTTCCGTGTGAGGGCTGGATGCCATGTCAGGTAACGAATGGAAGGCCACATTCTCACTTCCATTGTTCTTCTCACTTACAGTCATGTGTAAAAGTAAGTACATCCTCTTTAAATTCTATGGTTTTACATATCAGGACATAATAATAATCATCTGTTCACTAGCAGGTCTTAAATTTAGGTAAGTACAACCGTGTCATGATTTACTCAGATGATTGTTATTATGTCCAGATATGTAAAACCATAGAATTCAAAGAGGGTTTTTTTCCATGCCGGTTTTGCCTTTTCTCAATTCTCACTTACATGGTCCTTCAGCCACATGTGTACCCTAAAGTGCCAACCCATCTCTAAATTCTAGCTTCCATTGCCCCTCGACTTTAGCAATGTACCTTCTCACTTCTAACCACACCCAGCACTGAGAGTAGAAGTTTGTGCCCTCTCTCAGATCCCTTGTGTGCACGGCTGCGAAGGATAGAATGATAGTGGGTCAGATAATAATAAGAAGTTATTTAACCAGGAAATGTATGTTCAGATTACTATGGTTTCCAAGTACATCCTGAGGATGTTACTATTACCCAACTTAATTGTACTCATTTTATCTATCACAGAATGATAAAGGGCTGAGTTAACCCTGCCAGGAATTGAACCTGTTACCCCCAAAGGTTGAACTGATTCTACATTAACCTGCTGAGCTATCCACCCATTATTTAAAAGAGTAAGGCAGGCCAGTGTAGTGCAGGGGTCAGGTGGTGTGTCCCTGCAGGTTATCTGGCTATAAAGCTTTTTAATACTATGCAGGGTTGTACTTAATAAAAGGGTCTTCAAAATGTTTCAAAAGATGCTATTCTAAAAAGAGTAGGTATCCTGCCCAATCAGGGTCCCAAACTGAACTTATTTAGTGAAACGGTGGTCGACTACTCTGGGGGATTGTGAATCACGGGAATATCCAAAAGAAGGGGAACGTAAACAAGGGTTGAGATTACCATCCAGGTATATCGTTGAAGAGTGATAAGTGATCTGGATCGAATGGTAAGTGGGACTCATAACAAAGAAGAGTCCTCACGTGCTGTAGTGAGAGAGTGAAATAAAGCGATTACTCATTTGTACGATCCTGTTCCATGCCCGACCTGTCAAATTTTGTGTAGGAGCTCCTGGTCTGTATGCCATATACAAGATATGGTATAATATGGTGAGACCGTTAGGTCCCTGTACCCCTGACTGTCCGGGCACGTATCTCCAAGAGTAGGCCCTAGGTCAAGGGACCCAGGAATGCGAATTCGAGAACCGAGGTCAAGGTATCCCTATAGAGGAATACCTCCCTTCTTAGCCTGGAGCCCGCAAACTCATAGCGTTCTCTAACACGCAGGCAGATATAAATGAAAAAACAAGGGTCTAGCTTCAACCGTCCAAAGCAGGTGTTGTCCAATTCAAGAGCGTCGGCATCCATATCTGAGACTGTTACACATCCTGAGCAGAACTCCAGTGGTAGGTTGCGTCCTGACTTGTGACGTCCGTGTAGGAGCCGGGGACACACAGGGTTCCTCCATAGAGTTCAAGTTGGATAGGTGGGTTAGCGAAAACCCAAAATCGAGACTGTTCCCTGTGAGGGGTTTAGAGTATAGAAGGAGGGACCTCCATATCCGAATAATGTTCTCCAGATATGTTCTTAGAGGAGTAGTGGCCATCCTGTCATCTTATCCCAAGATTGTTCATGACCAGTGAACCCAAGTCGACCGAGGACCATGCGATCCATGCATACGGTGTACCTGCAGACCGAGTTGTGGGCCTTCCCCAGTCTTGTTACCCGAGCAAGGTAGTGCATGTTTGCTCTATGAAGGCCTCAGGATCTCATGTCACATTGACATGGGAAAAACCTGTCTGCGCAGTTTGTTCGCAATGGTCTGCTTAACCTAAACAGGGTGTGATTGCTTGTTTGATATAGCGTGGATTATACCAAAATCTGCACTCTTGGAATAACTGAGGCTCGTCTGTTAGCCCTACCATCTCCAGGATTACATCCAATAGGAATGGTATAGGGTCACCAACAAAATGGGCCAAGCCTGGGAGTTGAACCCAAGATGGTCATATCAAACAGCCCTTATACTGTCCCATAAAGTCTCCGGGGTGTGTGTAAATAAGCGTGGAATCTCCCCCAGTAATACCTCTGTGAGTAGTTGTCGCATGGGGTACCGTGGATCGGATCCAGCAGATCCATTCTAGGAGGTGAAATAGAGGAATAGAGTCTAAAACATGTATATACTGCACGATCAGGCAGCCCTCTATAACGAAATCAGTAGCACGGTCGTAGATGGAGGAGTTCTCTCCCCTTGCCCAGTCATTATGAAGCATTGTCTCCCATGCATACTGGTGAGGTACTATACCACTGTACCAGAGCTGAAGCATCAGCGGTAATTCGGTATGTGGTACGCACCACCATACTGAATTGAATGCAGGAAGGACGTCCTTCTATGCAGTCATCGTTGTCCTGTACAGGTACAAGCCTGTGTGATGAACCAATGGATGGCACCGTAGTGCGAAGAGTGTATGAGAGAGCCGCACTCTCTAATAATGTAACCGAACTCCATGTCAGCATCTGGCTGATAGCATGAACGGGCCGTACCCGTTAATAACAAAAACTAGAACCGACATCAGTGTCTGTATCCATCTCGGTATCGGACTGAGGTTGAATCAGTGTCCGGTTCAGTCTATGAGAGGGGTTCGCTCTCTACTCGTGTAAATAAAAAATATAGTCTCTAGCCGCACCCTCTTGTAATCCAAACTAGAGTCCATATCAGAATCAGGCTGGGCAAATGCGGTTGTTCACCCTTCATAATATCAGCGTAGGACTGGGGCACTGAGGGTACTGTCCCTCTCCGACCACGAGATCTCTCTCTGAATCACACCTTGAGAGGTAGGGTCAACTGGGAATAAACCGGACCGATGGTAGACGGAGTAGTATTTAACCTCGGGCCGTGCCCATTCTCAACAACCGAAAGGGGATGCGGAGAGAATGTAACATCTGGAAAAAAGTGATGGAGTCTACCAGCGGACCACCCAGATACCGCGCACGCGTGTGGGATCCAGGATGACCGCCAGTAGCCTGGGGAAACGCTGGAGACGTTCTCCGCGATCCACAAGAGCCCGGGAAGTCGGGGGAGGCCCAATCAGGCCTCTTGACAACCCGAGCGATAGAATACGGGAAGACAAGAAGACAGAGGAACAACAAACCAAAGGATACGATAAAGGAAAATACATACTTTGGGAGAAGTAACGGGCCGGAAAGTAAAAAACAGGTAACCCGGACTGAAAGGGCCAAGAACCAAACATGAAGCAGAAACAACTACCCAGACCCAAAATGGATACCGGATATGCAGCTAAAGGATAGTAGCGAAAGGTAAGGGATTACCGTGATCCCCTGTTGGTGGCTGAGCACTGGTCCCTGTATGTGCATCAGAGCGAAACTCTCCGAGGAGATGTGCCACCGCCGGGCTGGAGCAAACTCTGGCTGCCCGCCTGGGAATCTTTGTAGAAGCCTTGCCCCTCAGGGCGTGAGGTTTAGGGCCTTCACCCTTCCAATCATATATTTGTGCCTCAGGGCATATGGCAGCCGTGTCAGTAGTGTGTACTGGGCTTTCCTCAGTAATATTCCCCCAGGCCTGCGGCCAAAAGGGGGTTCAGGCACAGACTAACGTCGGCCTATCGATAGGGTACAGACGGAGCCGGACAAATAAATGGGCGCAGTCAGAGCAGGCCAATCAATGTGGCACAGACAGAGCAGGCCAGTCAATGGGGTACAGACAGAGCAGGCCAATCAAAGGGGCACAGACAGAGCAGGCCATTCAAAGGGGCACAGACAGAGCAGGCCACTGACAGGAGTTGTGTTCCACCAGCAGTAGGGGGACCAATCTGCGTGGGTAGAGCCCCTTTATATTAATATTATTATTATATCATGTTATTTATATAGCGCCATCAAATTCCACAGCGCTTTACAATATAAATATATATATAGAATCTTCAGGGTAATTAGGTGCACAACCCCTTTATATACTAATCCTTCATGGTAGTGCGAAAGTGTGCTAGGAGCACTAAAATAGGGATTCTGGCAGTCCCCCAAACACCCTGCAGCCACTGGTCACTGGGGCAGCCATGCTGTAAAAATCCCAGTGTACTACAGATTAAATAGTACCCAAACTGCATCCCAACCTATTTTCTTCAGCATTATAAGAATGGGTGCTATGGTGACTGGTTTGGGTCAAATCCGATGCAGGGCCACAGAAACATACTGTCTGATCTGGTCACATGCAAAACTGTTATATGTTTGTAAGTAACCTGATAGTGTAAAAAATGGTGACATGTTACTGCATGTATTAAACACAAAGGGAGAAGCAAGCACCAAAAATCAAAACACTCAATACACATTGAAAACCAAGCTGTTAACTTATGACAGCCAAGTAAGAGAGTTTGCATTGTGTCAGTTACCAAATGCAATGTTTAGTGAATAAACCAAGTTTCAACTTACTGTAGTTACCTAATAAAGTACAAGTGCCTATAAAAACCATTTACTACAGAAGTCTGGCAGGAGAGCCAGACCTCCATTGAGGTAAGCACCCAGCAAACAGACCTCCATACAGGGAGTGCAGAATTATTAGGCAAGTTGTATTTTTGAGGATTAATTTTATTATTGAACAACAACCATGTTCTCAATGAACCCAAAAAACTCATTAATATCAAAGCTGAATATTTTTGGAAGTAGTTTTTAGTTTGTTTTTAGTTATAGCTATGTTAGGGGGATATCTGTGTGTGCAGGTGACTATTACTGTGCATAATTATTAGGCAACTTAACAAAAAACAAATATATACCCATTTCAATTATTTATTATTACCAGTGAAACCAATATAACATCTCAACATTCACAAATATACATTTCTGACATTCAAAAACAAAACAAAAACAAATCAGTGACCAATATAGCCACCTTTCTTTGCAAGGACACTCAAAAGCCTGCCATCCATGGATTCTGTCAGTGTTTTGATCTGTTCACCATCAACATTGCGTGCAGCAGCAACCACAGCCTCCCAGACACTGTTCAGAGAGGTGTACTGTTTTCCCTCCTTGTAAATCTCACATTTGATGATGGACCACAGGTTCTCAATGGGGTTCAGATCAGGTGAACAAGGAGGCCATGTCATTAGATTTTCTTCTTTTATACCCTTTCTTGCCAGCCACGCTGTGGAGTACTTGGACGCGTGTGATGGAGCATTGTCCTGCATGAAAATCATGTTTTTCTTGAAGGATGCAGACTTCTTCCTGTACCACTGCTTGAAGAAGGTGTCTTCCAGGAACTGGCAGTAGGACTGGGAGTTGAGCTTGACTCCATCCTCAACCCGAAAAGGCCCCACAAGCTCATCTTTGATGATACCAGCCCAAACCAGTACTCCACCTCCACCTTGCTGGCGTCTGAGTCGGACTGGAGCTCTCTGCCCTTTACCAATCCAGCCACGGGCCCATCCATCTGGCCCATCAAGACTCACTCTCATTTCATCAGTCCATAAAACCTTAGAAAAATCAGTCTTGAGATATTTCTTGGCCCAGTCTTGACGTTTCAGCTTGTGTGTCTTGTTCAGTGGTGGTCGTCTTTCAGCCTTTCTTACCTTGGCCATGTCTCTGAGTATTGCACACCTTGTGCTTTTGGGCACTCCAGTGATGTTGCAGCTCTGAAATATGGCCAAACTGGTGGCAAGTGGCATCGTGGCAGCTGCACGCTTGACTTTTCTCAGTTCATGGGCAGTTATTTTGCGCCTTGGTTTTTCCACACGCTTCTTGCGACCCTGTTGACTATTTTGAATGAAACGCTTGATTGTTCGATGATCACGCTTCAGAAGCTTTGCAATTTTAAGAGTGCTGCATCCCTCTGCAAGATATCTCACTATTTTTGACTTTTCTGAGCCTGTCAAGTCCTTCTTTTGACCCATTTTGCCAAAGGAAAGGAAGTTGCCTAATAATTATGCACACCTGATATAGGGTGTTGATGTCATTAGACCACACCCCTTCTCATTACAGAGATGCACATCACCTAATATGCTTAATTGGTAGTAGGCTTTTGAGCCTATACAGCTTGGAGTAAGACAACATGCATAAAGAGGATGATGTGGTCAAAATACTCATTTGCCTAATAATTCTGCACTCCCTGTAGAGGCATGTACAGCCGGGGGAGGAGCTGCAATCAAAACACCCCCTCCTCCACCCG